TGTGAATAAAAGGTTGATTGCAACAGTCTATAATCAAACTTGCATCAAAGTTCGAAACCTGGGAAACTCTTGGAAGAAAGAACAATTAATGAGTTTTGTTGCCAAATGAAATGTCCAGTTTGTCAAACAGCACAGATTGAGAAGAATCGTTGTTTTGGATAATCCGCAGAAGTTTTCAAAGTCTAAACTTCTTAAGTTAGTGGAATCTTGAAACGAACTGTGTCAACGAGCGCTCAGCGAGTTTCATTTTTGTTTTCTATATTCAAATGTAATAAATTGAACAACATCTCTTATCTGTGAAGTTATTTATATATTGAGCTTCATTGTTCAAGAATAAGAACCGGCCTACCATGCATGTATCTTGTATATTTTGGGATCATTGCGGTTTTCTTTTTTTTCGTTTACCATTATACTACGTTAAAAAAAAAACATGTCCTACTTTTGATCCTCAATAACTCTGTTGTTTACCAAAGGAATTCAACCAAAATGTTCAGATCATGCAAACAAGGCGTGACAATTTTACGGAGCGAGTTCATCAGCTTTGTGCAAGAGGGTGAGATTTAAACGCCTTAAGAAGAAAATTCGCACTTTTCGATACAAAAATCACACAGCGCGCGCTGGAGACGGTAGTGGAAGGCGCGTGTTGCGGCCGAAAGCTTCTGAAGGAATGCAGGTTCACCCCTGATGTTATTGCACACCTCCTCGATTGTATGTTGCACGAAGCGATTGAGGCGGTGTGCAATGGCATCAGGGGTGATCATGCATTCCTTCAGAAGTTTTCGGCCGCAGTATACGCGCCTTCCGCCACCGTCTCCAGTGCTGTATCGGCATTGGAGGAAGCCAAGTTGAAGGTGGCAGATTCTGAAAGTGAGTATTCTTTTCGTATGCCGTTTATATCTCACCCTCTTGCACAAAGCTGATGAAACTCGCTCCATAAAATTTGTCGTTCGTTTGTTTACATGATCTGAAATTTTGGTTTAATTCCATTGGTAAACAACAGAGTTACTTAGGATCAATAGTAAGACATGTTTTTAACACGGCCTATACAGGTTGTCCCACAAAAAACCGTCGAAAACCAATTAATAAAGGTGTACTGCATGTGAGTTTTGGAACATTTTCAAATCACCAATCTACTATACACACTTCATTTAATTCAAATGGATGCATTGAAACAAACGCTATGCTATAATCGAACTCAAGGGTTGAAAACCGTCTTGGGCCACTTTCCTTGAAAGTGAGAAAGCGCAGTTACAGAAACACACAAAGGATTTATTTTTTTTGTTCAAGAGCAACTTGTGACTTATTCTACCGGCTTCTACCTGTAAAGTTAATAAATAAAAAAAGTGGCCCAAGTAGTTTTTCAAGTCCCGCATTGTGATTGCTGTGTTAAACAAAACATCCTAATGAAACCAACTAAAAAGCATTTGTAAGACCTTATTATTCTACTCAGCAATACATTAGACACGATGTTGAATACATGTACTACCCCCACTTTTCTGAAAACATGCCCGATTCGACAGTTAGTTTTTTTGTGGGACTGTATGTGCATGTTTCTCTCCTCACAATTATACATGTACCTGCAATTCAAGCGGGAGAGCCTCGGGGAGGGGACTTGGACACAACAACGATTACAAGGAAAACCGAAAAGTGCATTGGTCAGTGCCCCCTGTAACACAAATCAGTGATCTGTAAACCCATTGTCGTACGACGCAGTGAAAAAGCTCAAATACCCCAACCCAAACCCCCATCAATTCATTTGTTAATGGCTGCCGTGGTTGGGTTGTTCAGCCTTTCAACAGTTTGTTGTCCGAGCGATTTAATGGGGTCGACTCTATGGTCAGAAGAAGAATTACTGAGGGTCTTATTAACCAAACACTTGGGGCGCAAATATTTTGAAATGTAAAACTTTTCATCAGAATTCAGGCATTCTTGGCAGTTCAAAAGAGGGCGGTCACTTGTCAGATTGCTGGAAAGCTGCGTCGTGTCACTTTAGATGAAGTTGGCGTGGGCGAGGTGGTGCGTCATACATGTATACGTGTATTTGGTAGGCGCTCGGTGCAAGATTGCATGTTTGTGGAGAATGTTCACTTATAGACGCATCTGGGCAGCGATTTTTTTCCCTGGTGTACGCTATGACGTTCTGGACATTACTTCCCTTAAAAACATGAGAAAAAATATAAAATTAGAAGAAAAAAAATAATTCGAGCGTAATGAATTCGGACTTTATTTCCCTTTTAAAATAAATCCGCCTAAGCCTCAGGTTAGAAAAGAAAAATAAATCGGGTAAAAATGGTGTTTTGAACCCACGTCGCGGGGATCCCTCGCGGTACAAAATCACGACCCTGTCGACTGAGCTATCGAACTGCTCGGCAAATTCTGGAAATTCATGGTAATACCTGCTTTCGAATCATAAAATTCGCATCCGGGCACCTGGTCACTGTACAGTCACAAGGTCCCTTCAATGGCGAAACCATTGGGCACGCTATTGTACAAAGCAACTGCCCCTGATTATCTGACTGTTTTAACGCTATTATAGCACAATGCTTTCGCCATTGAAGGGGCCTTCGTGGTAAAATTGTTAGCGTGCTTGCATTTGTCTTTAGATTTTATACCTACATCTGGTCAAGTTATTAAAGTTTGTCATTTTATTGTAGGGTGCAGGATCAGAAGATAACTATCCAGTCCAACTTGTGTGCTCTGTGTTAATATATTTTGGTTTCACTTTTAGGCAATATATACATGTACTGGTATAGATTATTTTGGTTCAACACTGAGTATACAGAGTTAATACGTCGGTGAAGGGCAAAACCTAGTATTGAATCTAGTATTGAATCGTTTGTTTCAATTGGGAATATGCTCCAATAATCGAACTGAGATTTCAGAGTTTGGTACGGTGCCAAGAGACACGAACACAAGCGTTCATTTGACAGGTTTCTGAGGCCGTCTAGTAAAAGTACAAATGTATGTTCCGATCCGCCTAACAGCCGGGGTGAATGTTTACACAGGGGGCATGGATGAAATGAATTCCCACACTGAATTGTACATTCTGGATATCTAAACCTAAGCCCGCCGGTCTTATTCTTAAACTTCCAGAAGCGTATGACCAACATGGGGCAGACACAAACAATGACCCAATTGTTGTTCTATTTGGCGACTGAGATTCGTTTCACACCCAAACTCAGTGTGGGCCTACCGTACATGTACCAACGCACCGGCGTTGAAAAGAACAACTCAGGGCTTGTCAACAAGCTTCAACAATGAACCAAATCCTGCCTGAAGGCAAATATGAACTAGGTCTGTACTTTCAAAGAGACAAACTTTATCTTTTCAAAAGTGCTTACGCCTGAAACGTGACTAGTACGAAACAAATGAACTTCGAGTTCAAAGCCATCAATGCGTTACAATTTCATGGCTATGTGACGAGTTGGTAAAATGTGGACCAATAATGCAAGGCATTGAAAACGTTATACAGCACTGGTACTGTTTACTCGTACATTACAGACAAACTATATATGGACGCGTTTCTAGTGAAAAGTTAGGAATCATGACTTAAAAATATCTTTGTATGTTTCCGGCTATTTAAAACAATTTTGATTCCAATGGGCCTTATTCACGAATTGGCAATTTTTGTCGTGTTCCCTGAATGTAATTCATTAATTGTTAACTGTTGAATGGGATGGCGCCGGACTATTTATGCAGGCACAATGAAGCCTAATTATTTACCCTCTTTTTTTAATCTGGCTTTAAACATTAGGGAATGTTTAATTACAAATTTTAATTTATTCACTGAAGCAGACTGGAATTAATTAGAAATTAACTTGGTTTAATTTCTCTACACAAGTTTCAAAAATACAGATTTTACCTCACTCTCAATCCAATATGGCCGACTCGTGAATAAGGCCAATTCTCTAATTCTAATATGATTCAAATTCGTCCGAGAAGAATTTCACATGCTGTAGTATAATCAGTTTAGTCATTTACCATTCACTTTCAATTTCAAAGTTCGGCAACCTATTTAAATACTTAGTTAAGAATGTTTGTCAATACAAATATAATGACTAAGCTATTGCCAAATGACAGCATTAAGAGATTGAATTCATCGTATATTCTTAACTTTAATACTTATGATAAGTAAATTAGTCTGGGTGTGTGCTTAAACATTTTTTTTACGTGTCTTAAACACAATTCCGCACATTCGTTCGCATGATGTTACCAAATCACCAATTCTATTTCATGTATTCAAATTCGTCCGAGAAGAATTCACGTGCTTTAAGTAACCCTAACTCCTTAGGGGGCGTGCTAAATCATATTACAAATAGAGGATTCACGACTGTTAGGATAGGTAAAATCAAAGCAGTTATGTATTATTCATTTACAAAAGTTAGTCAACCTATTTCAGTACATGTGTGCCTACTTGGAATAAGAATATTCGTCAATGCCATTGTTGCCGAATGACAACATTCAGAGATCGAATTCGTCTTACATCAATCAATTTAAATCTTGTGTTCATTAAATGAGTCTGGTGTGGACGTGCTATAAGGCATTATCCTTGTGTCCTTCAGCACAATTCAGTACAGGATCGTTCGCATGAAAAGTGTAATGATTACCAAGAATAACAAAACAAATTTCTTTTGCAGCAGAAGGGTTTAAGCCGCTGAAAAGAATAAGTTTTTACTTTTTTATTTCCCTGTTCTTTTATAAATTTATGTTTTTTTATTTTATGTTTTTTTTATTTTCTGAAACATGTTATAAAATAGGCAGAAACAAATGTTACACGGGGAATCAATGGTCATAATAGTTTCTGACATTTCCTTCTGTCATTTTAACACTTAGTTTATTCATTTCTAAATGTAAAAGTGCTTTAGGTTTTGTTGCTCTTGGTAATCTTTACTCTTTTCTTTTGGTATTAAACTGTCCTCTGACTGTAGTACACCTACTGACATCATGCAAAACGAATGTGACGAATTGTGCTTGAGTACACAAGGAAAATGCTCTAGCACACACCAGACTAATATACTTAACACAGGTTTTAAATGGATTGAAATAAGATGAATTTGATCTCTAAATGCTGCCATTCGGCAAGAGCTCAGACGAATGTAATCTGTATTGACGAATATTCTCGACCAAGTGCCTAATAGGTTGACCAAACTTTCAAACTGAATGAAAAAAGACTAAATTGACATCGAAAAGACTAAAAACGGCATCTCGTATTATGCTGGGACAAATTTGAATATATGAATATGTGAATTAGAATCAAAAACGTTTAGCAAAGAAACCTATAACAAAGACTTGCCATATGTTTTACTACAAACATTGTACTTTTTTAGTTTTGCTGGAAAAAAAATAGTTTAACAAAATTACATGTACATGTGTACTTGACTAAAACGGTATAATCCTAAAAAAATACGGCTTTAACTAATAACATTTTTTGAAGGTCTTCAAATGTCCTTGTGTTTTTATTTTTGAACATTTAATTGATGTGTTAGTCACAGAATGAGCATCTGGAACTTTTACTGAAAACCCTGATTTACCCGATACACCCCATTTTGGGTCTGTCTTGTTTCTTTTGGTCTAGCTGTCAGTTGCTTAGCCACGTTTCATTTCAAGTCCAGTCCAGGCCCTTCCGCAAATAGTATTGGGTTTCCAAATAGTGTACATAACCTCTCAGTAATTTTTCTTCTTCTCTTTTTCAGATCCTTGTTGATGGTGAAACGGACTTTCCACTGCCAGTTGCTGCAATCACTGTGATAGCATGACATCAACTCCAAACTAGTGACAGTTCACGCTTTTCTGTTTGCGACAACTCCCCAAGCAACTTCCAAGATGACTTCCATAGGCAATGCGACTCCGCTGGTTTGTTTGGTGGTTCTCATTCTTGCCCTTCTTGTACCACCAGCAGCACAGCAAGGAGGAGCTAGCCCACCAATTAACTGTCCCCAAAACACAGTTAGTGTTGGGGTGCTCATTGCTGCCTGTGTGGCCGTTCTAGTTGGGACGTTAATCTTTGAAGGCCTTGCCATCCTATGCTATAGGAGGTACTGCAAGGACCGCGAGAAGCCGCAGAAGGTAGCTCATCGGTTCATGATCTCACCCGATCAGGAGCTGGTTGTGAAGGAGAATCTTGGCTACGAAAGTGATTCTGATGCTCAGGAGCGGTCGCTGAGGGAAGCAAAGGAGAAGAAACGAGCATCTATCTTCAACATCAGTGAGACTAAGGATAACATGATGTATGTACCCGCACTCTACCGTAACCCTATCACCAAGGACCGTGACACCGGCTCTGCCATCATGAATGGTTACCATGACTATGAGCCAGACTATGGCATGGACACCATGTTCACCTATAATGCCGGTTGGGGCTCCCGTGTTCCTAACATCCTCAGTGGCAAGGGCAACACTAACAGTCTTGAGTCCCTCTACACGGATGCTGATGAGTATCCCATCTTGCATACCCCACATGGAGTTGGCCCTGTGAACTTTGCATCCTCAAAATTCAGGGATGGCTTTGGCCGAAAGAGCATCGACATCCATGAAGATGATGGCGACGTAACCACCTATACATACACCACTGGTTTTGGGGGAAAGGTGCGGCGTGAGGTTGCCACGGTAACATCAGAGACAGGTGACGATATTGAGATCGAGGGAGACAGAGTCACCTGGCGGAAGTGTAAACTCCCGGACGAAGTCGTATTGGATATGGACGAGGAAGAAGCCAAGCCTGAAACACGCATTGCCATTGATGACAATTTCACAATTGGCAAACCAACATCAACCAGACGCCAAGAATACACCACAGCAGAAGTCCACAGCGATTCACAAGGAACCAGTTATGATCCATCTGGCAACTTCATCCTTCGTGCAACACCCTCCACCTCCCGCTCAGACAGCAGTGATGATGACCTATACGATTACGGAGACAGCATAGAGAGACAGCAGCAGACCCTGAACATGCCGAAGCACTCACCAGGCACAATTGGTCACGGTACATTCCGAGCAACCGTCGGTGGAATCCCCCTGGACCATGGATCTTCAGAAGAAGAATCTCCGACTGAACTTTTCAACAGCAGGTACCGATACAGCACCGGACTCAACAAAGCCAAATTGGTTGCAATGCGTGCCGCTGCTGCTGCCCATGCCCGAGAAGGAATCCTCAATGAAGAAGATCCGCCAGAAGATCAAGGCCAAGACGGCATGCCGCCAGTCATGGGTTACATCAAGCTTGTCAAACCTGATGACTCTTCCCAAGATGGAAGCAGTGAAGAACAGCAATATCATGTAATGCCAAGAAGAGATTCAGACAGTCCAAACTCAGTACGGCTGTATCCAGTTAACTCAAGAGGAAAACCAATTTCAATTCAGACCCAGTTACCCGGAGGTTTCTCTCGAGATTCATACATCAGGCACCGTCAGGAGACCTACATTGAGGTTTCAGATGCAGGAGTGCAGTGTGAGATAATTCCACGAGGTGGCAGACCTGGTCAGGAGAAGACGAGTATCTTGAGGAAAGAGCGAACATCCTATGACCAAGAGATGAATTCCGTTGATGATATTCCAACCATCGGTAAGTTTGAAATCTAATAAAAAGGTTTAACATGTACACGTATTCTAAAGATCATGTGTAAACACATATCGTCACGTCGGTGCAACAAGGTCGTATCTCCCAAAATGGTTTAAACGCAAAACACAAGTTTTAGAATGTCAAAAGGTCGTATCTCAATGTCAATGGACGCCGAGATATGACCTTGTTGCAAGGAGCATATTTGCCCGAGATACGACTTTGTTGCACTGACGCGACTATATGTACATGTATGAAATTGTATCTTTTGGACTCTTGTATGTTCAGTGTCACGAAGATAGTCTTCAGTTCAAATTGACAAATACATTGTACAGAATATTTTTACATATCATTTACAACTGAACGATCATTTCAAATTTGAAACTGTAACATCTGCATGACCACATAAATTACACAAACCTTTAATGTACTTGGCTACATATCAGAAATAGAATTGACTGGTGAGACTATTAAGGCTATGCTTGTTGTAAGTATTACAGTTATATTAAGGAGGTACGTATTTTTTTTCTTGGTTTATAGGTGTGATCCGACTGATGCATCCCAAGTCATCCAAGCATGTAAGAATAAGAGAGGATCAGACTGATTATTCAACCATGACATTCAGTGAGGAGGATCTTACCTCGGCCTCTCTTGAAGATGTCAGCTACCGCTCCACAAGCCGGTCAAATGAACGTATGTCCCCAAGACCTCGCCGTGCAAGATCAGCCCCAGCCAGAAGTGAACGTGCCCCCATGACAGAGGATGACCAGCGTCCCTTTGAAGAAGTACCAACGATTGGAGTCATTCGGCTTGTTCGTCCAGACAGTGCTTCTGACACCTCTGGTGTGGATAGTGAGGTTACAAGTGGGGAAGAGTCAGTGCCCGGAGACAGATTTCATGGACCAAGGAATGACAAGTGGACACAGCATGAAGTTCCCATTGTTCGGTTGGCTCAGCAGATACTTCAAGAAAGTGTCAATGAGAGGGGTTCATCCCAGAGGTCTCTACATCGATTAGATCAAGACATGGGTGACATACCAACTATTGGAGTTGTAAGGTTGGTGCGCCCCAAATCAACAACTCATGATGTGAGACCGATGACAAGTTCAAGAGTGGATGAGCGCTTTGATGAATCCGAAGAAACAAATAGGCAGACATCTTCCAGAGTAACTCCTGTTTCTGACATGCCAACCATTGGTGTCATCAAATTGTTGCAGCAAGAGTCCAGAAGGGAGCCTACTTCAAGGTTCCCGGTGTCAGTCATAGACAGAGGAACCCAACCCATTAATACCTGGGCGCAGTTGCTGCGTGAGATGCATAGCATGGTGGAGAGTGAAATCTTGCGCAAGATGAGCAAGAAGCAGCATGATCAACCAACCGATGAGACCGATGCTCTACCCCGTACAATCAGTGTCATCAAACTGAAGCGTGAGGAAGTACAAGTACAGCCTCAGGTTCCATATAGTTTGATGGATCAATCAACTCAGAGCAGTGCTGAAATGAGAGATGAAGCAACAATGCCAACCTTTGGCTGGTCACATCTGATCCATGAGGTTGAAGACCAGATAGAAGAACGGTATAAGCGAATGTCAGCCCCTGCTCCAAAGGAAGAATTCCAGGCTACCAAGTCAGTCCAGAAACTTGGAGTAATCCAGTTGAAAACAGCCCCAGAAAAGATCATCAGGGACAGTTTCACCCAGGTTTCTGGTCCAGACACATATGAGAAGAGCACAGGGCCTGCATGGAGCTTCAAAGAACTAGTTGAAGAAGTGGAAGAAGAGGCTGTCCAGAAATTCAAGAAAACCTTGAAACAACTTGACCGATCAGCTGAACCACAGGACTTCCATGAGCCAGTCCGTTCTGTCAGTGTAATCAAGCTGAAGAAAGAACCAGGTCAAGAAAAGCTGGTTCGAGATTCGGTAACTCAGATATCTGGACCCAACACTTATGAGAAAAGTACCGGATCCACCCTGACATTTGCAGAAATCAAAGAAGAAATAGAGGAAGAGGCTGTCAGGGAGTTCAAGAGAACCTTGAGTCAGTTAGATCGCCCGGCTGTTGTATCTCAAGATGGTCCACAACCAGTCCGATCTGTCAGTGTGATTAAACTGCAGAAGGAACCAGAGGCTGAAAAGCCAACAGTAACAAGCAGAGGGGTTCAACCAGATCTACCATGGCGGGAACTCAAAGAAGAAATTGAAGATGAGGCAATTGAGGAGTATAAAAAACAGATGCGTCGATTCCAGCCAAAAGAGGCTGTGCAACAAGTCCCAGAAACACAAGCTCCTACAGTGAGTGTTATCAAACTTAAAGGTCCGAAGACCAAACCTGCACCTGAGAAATGGGATAACATCACTCAGTGTGATTTGATCGAACCAAAACCTGTCATGGCTGATCAGGTGACCGAACCAGCACGACCATGGTCTGATGTCCTGCACAATGTACGCAGAATTTTGGAGAACGAGTACAGACGTACCATCACTGAGCTTGAAACAAGACTGACATCCTTACCCAAAGATCAGCCCATTGTCGAGACAGTTCCAACTGTTGCGGTCTTTAAACTGAAAGGACCAGATGTGCATGTGCAACCAGAGCCTGAAAAACCAAAAATGATGAATGAGAAGACACAAGCAGCACCACGCACTTCTGAGCAAGAAACTGCCCCAGAAAGACCCTGGAAGAATATCCTCACAGACGTCAGGAAAATTCTTGAAAACGAATACAGGCGAACCATTCGGGAGCTGGAAGACCAGTTGAGTGGCAGAGATGAACCTGACTCTGGGAAGACCATGGCCTATTTCAAGCTCAGTGCCCCTGAGGTGCCCAAAGTGCAGACAGTGAGTATGTACACACAAATTGATGCACCTCAAACTGGAGACCAAGGAACACTTCCCGAAAGACCATGGGGAGATCTTATTCAAGATGTTCGCAGTTCAGTTGAAAATGAGTATCGAGTCACGATCAGAGAGCTTGAATCTCAACTTGCTGAAAGACCTAAAGATGTGACTAAGGAACCTACACGCTTAGGAATCTTCAAGCTTAAAGGGCCAAAGCAACAAAAGGTGAAGAAACCAGTGCTTCATGACACTTTTACTCAACCAGCGAAGCCCTGGTTGACACTGATGAGTGAGATGGAAGAAAATGTAGAGCGGAGACTTTCAATGAAAAAGATCAAGCCAGTTGCTGTGGAACCGGAAATTGTCCAACAGACCCAACAAGTGGTGGAAATGACACCACAGATAAAGCCTACAACAGCTGATGTTATGACACAAGCTTCTCAGCCAGCAACTAGTTCTAAAGCTTCCCAGAGTGTGTCTGTTCAGAGATCCTCAATGTCCACAGAAGCTAACATCCAGCCAAATGTTACTGAGCGAAGCACATCATGTGATCTACTTAGACCAGGGATAAGTGAGCAAGTACAAGTGAAACCCATGACGGCAATAAAATCTACTGTGACTGAGGTCACCAAATCTTCCGATTTCTTCCAGCTTTTCAAGCCAGAGTTCTCCATGCAAGAGACTCAAGCTTCACCATCGAAAACATCAACAGCTACAATGCCTCAGAAGTCATTGTTGCAAGAAGTGGGTATCCAAACTCGTCCTTCAACTGAAGATCTTGAGGTTATTACAGATCTTGTGTCTACTTCTGACTTGAGCATACAGGTTGAAATGCAGTCAACTCCAGAGATTCCTATCATCACACCAACAATCATGCAGCCAGTTCATGCACCCGTAACATTCAAAGAACCAGATGTAGAGAAGATCGACTTTGCTGTTCAGGTTGTTCCTGAGAAGACCAGCAGAGCTTCAGCTACTGAGCTAAGAAAGTATGTGGACAACTTTGTCCAGGTTGCCAGTCCAAAGCCAACTCAAGAAGTATTCGGTGCTCAGGTACAGCCAGATGTCACTGATGGTCATTCGTCTATAGTGATTGAAATGAAGGATGTGGGAACTGATAATTTGCAAGTTCATTCGACTGAAAAGTCAACAGAAATTAGCATCGTAAAAGAACTGCTTGACCTCGCAGTCCAAGTTAAACCTGAAGTAAAATCCAGGGTGGCTGCTACGGACAAGAAGAAATACTCTGATGTATCTTCTCAGGCGGATGATGCACCAATTGAAGAAATGGCTGACACTCTTGACTCTTCCATTCAAGCTGTACCAAACATTAATGTGTCATTCACAAGCATGGACACTCCAAAATCGACTGATGCCTTCACACAGCTCAAACCTCTTGTAATTCAACAGGGAGACAAGTCTATTCAGGTTAATGCCAACATGGCTGAGGTGGGAACAGAGACTCCAGTGGTAAGCTATGTGGACAACAGCTCACAGATGAATATCTCGACATTAAGCCAACACGTCCAGGCACGAACACTTCAAGCAGACGCTACCACAGGAAAAGAGCTTCTAACAAATGAGATATCTACACAACCTGACATTGCCACAAAGCAGGAAGTTTCTGTACAAGTTTCCATGGAAATTGAGACAGAGCCAGCAATTATTAAAGCAGTTGTACAAAGCGAGCAGTACTCAATGCCGACCCTACCTACCCCTGCTGAAGTGACAGATTTTGCCATGCAAACCATGTCACAAACAGCAGAATTTTCCAACCAATATGTGCCTCAAACAACTGACAAATACACAGAGAAGAAAATGGATGGACACAGCTTTGCATTACAGGTTTCTCAGAACAGCACAGACTCTTCCACAGAGACTATGGAAGTTGTGCAAAAGACTGTTCCGGTACAAGTACGCCCTCGCACAGTAGACAAAGCAACAGAGTATTCTGAATCTAAACCTGATGGTATTGACATTGGCATTCAGTACAGCATTGACAGCAATGAAATTGGTGTTAGTGCAGAGCCTCAAGTGATTGACGATGGTACATTGATGGAGATCAAACTTCAGCTGGATGTTGGCACTCAGGCAGACTGTGAAATTACAGTAGAACCAGCAATTATCCAAGAAGTGATAAAAGCTCCTGAAGAGTCTGTGGCACTGATGAATTGGGATGTAGAGACATCTGATGCAGATACACAAACTATACAAGGAGAGACCACACAGCGAGGAACGTCACCAGATGGCATCAAGACTGCTGATGCAGTAGTGCAGCATGTTCAATTACGAAACATCAAAGATGGCAGCGTCCAGGCAGATCCTGATGTCACAACAACAGGTACCTTGGCGTTTACAGTAGATCACATTGTGCATGCTACCCAAGTTAAGCCACAGACTATAGACCGTGGTATGACAACAGTCATACGAGGTTCCGTGGAAAGAAGTAACATGGCCAATCTGCTTCCAAAGGCTTATGTCAAACCTCCATCTAAGGATGTGTCTGTCCAAATGCAACCGGTCTCGAACTTGAAGACACAAAGTACCTTGACAGACAAGACTGAGATGAAATCCATGCCAGTTCAGGCTTCACCAGCAACTAGCACCCATGGACAGACATCAAGACCAGATGTCATAGAGCAGTGGAGTATGACAGATGAGGCACCAGAGAAAGAAGTAATTGAGCTTATCATTCCACAAATAGAAAAACCAGTTGAGGCTCCCATTCCCATCCTGAAAGCAGAACTTCTGGACAAAACAACCCAGGTGATTTTGCCAAGCACGAATGACATGTTCTCCTCAATAGAGATATCTCAAACGCAGACTGCTACTCAGTATGATCATGACAATGATGAAATGTCCACTCAGACTGATGTGGAAGCTGAACCTGAACTTACAAGCAGCAGCACTCAAATGGATGTTCATGTGGTTGACACTACTGCCCAAACGATACCTGTCAAGAGGGAAACAATTGGCCTATCTACTGATGTCACCCAATTCAGGGCATCATTTACCCAGTATGAACCAGAACAATTTAAGTCGTCTGCCTCCAATCAAACATCTGTTAATACATGTAGCACAGGGTTCTCCCCAGAAAAGATTGTGCTTAAATCGACTGGCATTTCCCCAGAAAAGAGGGATGTGACGACATCATCAACTCAATATCAAAAAAGTGTTACTGAAGACAGCAGTATGCAAACTGAAGAGCAGGAAGAACTAGAAATCATTGAAGAAATAGTGTCCTTGGAAAAGATTGAGACACTGGAGTCTGCTCCTATATTCCCGGAGGTAGAACTGACGAATACAGACACTCAAACTGAAAGGGAAGTGTTACCGATAATGAGCGATGTTGGTTCCCAACATGAAGTCGGCATTAAAACATCTGTTGTTCAAACTATTCAAGTGAAACTTGAGTCAAAAGCTATGTCAACAACTGGGCCCCAGCTAAGGGAGTCAGTAGTCCAGTATGAGCCTGAACGTTTCAGGACAGCTGTCTCATCTCAGACAACAGTTCCAACACGCACTACCGGGTCTTCAACAGAGAAAGCATCCTTCAAGACAACTGGAGTGTCTCCTGTTAAAGTTGATGTGAAAGCTTCATCTACTCAATACCAGATTGCTGTCTTGCAGGACAACAGCATGCAGACAGAAGACCAAGAAGAACCAATTTCAATTGAAGAATTCATCACTGTTGAGCGAGCCCCAGTTGTCGAATTCATGCCTGAATACCCTGCAGTGGAGCTGGCTGATGCAGAAACACAAGCCGAATTGGTTACAACTGATAGAGCAATCCTTACTGACCCAGAGACACATATAGTCATGAAATCATCAGATGTTCAAACAGTAAAGTTACAGCTTAAAAGCAAGTTTACATCAACATTTGGCCCGCAGCTGAAGGAATCAGTTGTCCAGTATGAGCCTGAACGCTTTAGGATGGCTGCCTCGTCCCAGACAACAGTCCCAACACGTACTACAGGATCTTCCACTGAGAAGGCATACTTCAAAACAACTGGAGTGTCTCCTGATAAAGTTAATGTGAATTCTTCTTCTACTCAGTACCAGATGACTATCACCCAAGACAACAGTATGCAAACAGAAGAAAAGGAGGAACCAATTCCACTAGAAGAATTGGTAACTGTTGAACAAGCCCCAGTTGTTGAATTCATGCCTGAATACCCTGCAGTGGAGCTGGCTGATGCAGAAACACAAGCAGAGTTGGTTACAACTGATAAAGCAATCCTTACTGACCCAGAGATACATAAAGTCATGAAATCATCAGATGTTCAAACAGCAAAGTTACAGCTTGAAAGCAAGTTTACATCGACATTTGGCCCGCAGCTGAAGGAATCAGTTGTCCAGTATGAGCCTGAACGCTTTAGGATGGCTGCCTCGTCCCAGACAACAGTCCCAACACGCACTACAGGATCTTCCACTGAGAAGGCATCCTTCAAAACAACTGGAGTGTCTCCTGATAAAGTTAATGTAAAAGCTTCTTCTACTCAGTACCAGATGACGATCACCCAAGACAACAGCATGCAAACAGAAGAAAAGGAGGAACCAATTCCACTAGAAGAATTGGTAACTGTTGAACAAGCCCCAGTTGTTGAATTCATGCCTGAATACCCTGCAGTGGAGCTGGCTGATGCAGAAACACAAGCCGAGTTGGTTACAACTGATAGAGCAATCCTTACTGACCCAGAGACACATAAAGTCATGAAATCATCAGATGTTCAAACAGCAAAGTTACAGCTTGAAAGCAAGTTTACATCGACATTTGGCCCGCAGCTGAAGGAATCAGTTGTCCAGTATGAGCCTGAACGCTTTAGGATGGCTGCCTCGTCCCAGACAACAGTCCCAACACGCACTACAGGATCTTCCACTGAGAAGGCATCCTTCAAAACAACTGGAGTGTCTCCTGATAAAGTTAATGTGAAAGCTTCTTCTACTCAGTACCAGATGACTATTACCCAAGACAACAGCATGCAAACAGAAGAAAAGGAGGAACCAATTCCACTAGAAGAATTGGTAACTGTTGAACAAGCCCCAGTTGTTGAATTCATGCCTGAATACCCTGCAGTGGAGCTGGCTGATGCAGAAACACAAGCCGAGTTGGTTACAACTGATAGAGCAATCCTTACTGACCCAGAGACACATAAAGTCATGAAATCATCAGATGTTCAAACAGCAAAGTTACAGCTTGAAAGCAAGTTTACATCGACATTTGGCCCGCAGCTGAAGGAATCAGTTGTCCAGTATGAGCCTGAACGCTTTAGGATGGCTGCCTCGTCCCAGACAACAGTCCCAACACGCACTACAGGATCTTCCACTGAGAAGGCATCCTTCAAAACAACTGGAGTGTCTCCTGATAAAGTTAATGTGAAAGCTTCTTCTACTCAGTACCAGATAACTATCACCCAAGATAACAGCATGCAAACAGAAGAAAAGGAGGAACCAATTCCACTAGAAGAATTGGTAACTGTTGAACAAGCCCCAGTTGTTGAATTCATGCCCGATTTCCCACCAGTGGAGCTTGTTGATGCAGAAACACAAGCTGAACCAGTCACAACTGATAGAGCTATCCTCACCAGACCAGAGAGCCGGGAAAAAACAACTTCAACGTTTGTTAAGAAGTACACCCAGGCTTATGTGCAGAATGTTCCTAGAATGACTTCTGTAAGTCAACAGATGACAATGCAAAGGCCACAGTTAGTCTCGCAAGGCACTACCATGGTGAAGATTCAGTTGACTTCTATACCAACACAAGCCCAACCTTCCACTAGGGCATTTGGCCAGATGATGGAGCCCATGGTTAATGACCACTGGAGCATGACAGATGAAGAACCAGTTGAAGAAATGATTGCGTCTCAGGTAGCAACTGTGGTTGAAAGCATGCCAGAGTTGCCTGTAGAAACACAAGATGCGGATGTCCAAGTTGAACCCAAAACATCAAACATTGCTATAGAAACTTATCCTGAAACAGCAGAGCAAGGCAGCCTTGTTCAACCAGAAACACGCGAAGTTCCATCTCAGATGTCAATTCACCAGGCAACTGTTTCTGCACAGGCAACTGTTAAACACTCAACCATGTCTTCTCAGACTGATCAAGAGGAGAAGAAACGCTTGAAAAATTCAGGGGTTCAAACTCAGCAATATCTGGTCACAAGCAGCAGCTATGTCCCATTGAAAGAGAAGAGCTACAAGTCTGTTGAGCATATGGGCGACTTGGTGGGCATACAGCCACGTGGACCAATCAAGACACAGCATAAGAACTTGCAGGCGTCAGTTTCCACTGCTACTATGATGTCGCAGTCCACTGGACCTGAACAGACAGCAACAGGCTTCCAGACAGAGGAGATGATTGAGGTCACTGATATGGAGGTCCAAACGAACCCGGTAACCATCATAGACTTTGTTCCTGTGCTTAAGGATTCTACTGTGCAGTATGAGCCCATGTATTTCTACAGTGCATCCACACAGGCAGAAATACCCACAATGCATCAACACGTAAGTGCTGTTGTACAAAACCGAAACCAAGAAACAACCACACACATCATTAAGGTGCAACCTTCATCAAGTCAAACAGAAGCCCATCAAGGTGAGGATAACAGCTCACAGACGGATGCGATGTCTGAACCAGAACCTCTCATTGCACCCATGAAGATTGAACCAGTCCTCTTTGCTCCACCTGCACTGCTTCCCGAGACACAGGTTGCTGAATCTCAAACTGATAATGTAGTATCAACAGACCAAAGTACCTCAATAAAGCTACCTAAGCTACTACACACCTATGCTCAAGTCGGTCCTCGGATGCAGGATACCAACACCATGACACCTGTGAAGCAGTATGCTCCGGTTGCTGTACAAAATGAACCCGAAATGTTGTCTCAAATGATGCAGACCTCACCTGATGTCAGAGAGGGAATGACACTGACGGAGAAACCAGACATCACTGATCAAGCTTCCCAGCATGACACTGCCTCTATGCATATATCATCACAGGCAGCCCCAGAGTCCTATGATGCCTCAACCTCCTTTGATCTGGTTGTTCAGGAATTGATCGAAGCTGGAACACAGCACATCATAGAACTGAGAAATTTTGAAACTCAGACACACACAGACAAACGTGATCAAGCCTCATTCGTTGACATTCAGATGCAAGAATCTGACTGCCAGACAGAACTGACAATAGAGGACCTGGAAGAAATGCTGGCAACTCTGAAGCAGAAACTTGATGAAAAGCCCATGGTGCAGGAATTCATCATTCCTGAACAACTCAATCCTGTTGAGTCTCCCATGAGTTTCCCTATTGATACAGAGGACTCTGGAATCCAAACCTTCCTAGAAACTGTCCAAAGGAGCACATCACCCATTCTCCTGGAGGTTAAGCATGCCATTACCCAGTATGAAGCAGAACTGAAGGAGTTTGGTGTACAAGTGAAGCCTGATGTCATTGACAAAGAAATAGAGACCTTTATAGTCAAAGTACATGATGCAGCGATTCAGTATGCTTCGCTATATGGCAAGGACAAACCTACACAATTTTCCCCAGACGTCAATGATGCTGAGTCACTCACAGATCAGAAAGAATATCAGCACAGTTATACAAATACCAAGTCAATTTCACTTTCATCAAAAACAATGCAGGCTAACCCACAGAACATGGACAAGGCAACAACTCCTACATTACAGCAGTACGACAAAAGAGCAACCCAGACATCAGCTGCTGAAACGGTTACCAGAGGGACGCAGAGAGAGTATGCTCCGGTTGCTGAACAAAATGAACCCGAAATGTTGTCTCAAATGATGCAGACCTCACCTGATGTCAGAGAGGGAATGACACTGACGGAGAAACCAGACATCACTGATCAAGCTTCCCAGCATGACACTGCCTCTATGCATGTATCATCACAGGCAGCCCCAGAGTCCTATGATGCCTCAACCTCCTTTGATCTGGTTGTTCAGGAATTGATCGAAGCTGGAACACAGCACATCATAGAACTGAGAAATTTTGAAACTCAGACACACACAGACAAACGTGATCAAGCCTCATTCGTTGACATTCAGATGCAAGAATCTGACTGCCAGACAGAACTGACAATAGAGGACCTGGAAGAAATGCTGGCAACTCTGAAGCAGAAACTTGATGGAAAGCCCATGGTGCAGGAATTCATCATTCCTGAACAACTCAATCCTGTTGAGTCTCCCATGAGTTTCCCTATTGATACAGAGGACTCTGGAGTCCAAACCTTCCTAGAAACTGTCCAAAGGAGCACATCACCCATTCTCCTGGAGGTTAAGCATGCCATTACCCAGTATGAAGCAGAGCTGAAGGAGTTTGGTGTACAAGTGAAGCCTGATGTCATTGACAAAGAAATGGAGACCTTTATAGTCAAAGTACATGATGCAGCGATTCAGTATGCTTCGCTATATGGCAAGGACAAACCTACACAATTTTCCCCAGACGTCAATGATGCTGGGTCACTCACAGATCAGAAAGAATATCAGCACAGTTATACAAATACCAAGTCAATTTCACTTTCATCAAAAACAATGCAGGCTAACCCACAGAACATGGACAAGGCAACAACTCCTACATTACAGCAGTACGACAAAAGAGCAACCCAGACATCAGCTGCTGAAATGGTTACCAGATGGACGCAGAGAGAAATCTTATGGGCTGATGCTCCTATTCAGGTCAGACCTGTTCTTGATGATGCCACATCTCAAACGGATACAATAATAAAAGAGGATATTGCAGCCATTCTGAAACCAATAGAGAAGAAAGAAGTAAGACTAGAGATGAAGTCATTCAAGGAGACCAACACAGTCGAAATTCAAACAGATCCTGTCATCATCAAATCTGCTAGACCTGATGATGATGATGAATCATGGCTCGACAGTGGAATTGACACAGATGTTCAAACAGATCCAGTTGTCATTCTTTCTGATTTGGATTCTGAGATTGAATTGATGGATGAGGACAGTCAGACATGTCCAATTGACATGATTGATGCTGATATCCAGGTTGAGACCAGAAAGGAGGTAAATGATACAACTTCGCAAACCTCTCCTCAGCCACAGGTCGACAAAACAGTACAGACGATGCCAAAGCAGATTTCTTATGCTAGTACTGTAACAACAACTCCCATGGTTAGACCAATCTCCTCTCAAACTTTCCCCACCAAAACAGCAACAAAGGGATTCCAGTTTGAACCAGTGCCATATTTGACCAACGAAGACATTGACACTCAAACTCCAGGAACTCTGACCAAGGAACAAGGGACACACGCACTGGAAAGCCAGGTGGAGACTTCAACTACACAAACTGATGAGATGCCAGTAATTGAACCTGAGATTATTCATGTCGCCAACCTCCAACCTGTTGAAGCACAAATGACTTTCTCTGCTCCAGAAGCAGAAGTCATAGATACCGGAGTGCAGGCAAGTACTGAAGTAACTGACGAAGATTCACAAACAACTAGAGTCTTCACAACAGACAGACCCTCTTCACCAGGAATCAGTTATGCTGTAGCTGAATCACAGACTGTCTCTCCAGCCCATCGGACGAAAGATACACAGTATGAACCAAATGCAGCACAGAAGAAAACTCAGACAGAAGCAACGGTTACTGTTAGCATGGGTACTGCCACTTATCAGGTGATTTCACAAGATATTTGCCTCCAGACTTTCTTGGAAACCAAGCCAGAGATTGTTGACAGATCAATGCAGCATGCTGCCGTGGTCTTCACAGGATACTCTCAGACTGAGGAGACTCAGCATCAGCATGAAGAAACACAAACAGATCAGGTTGATGAAGAAATCCAATTCATCACTCCATCTCCAGAATTCCTTGAAGCTTTCACACAGACAACTGACAAGAGGTCCAATGCAGGAGCTCAAACAGAGGGTCTACATGTTGTGGAGAGTGGCACTAACGCACCTTTAACAAAAAAGCAAGTTGGGGTGACCCAGACACTAAGGACGAGTACATGGAGCGAGGGCACAGTAACAGAACCATTGAAGTCTGTAAGTATGGCAGTGCAGACAGATGCCATTCCAGTTCGTGTTGTGGATGAACACATCTCTCCAGTACACCTGCAACCAGTACATGCACCTCTGAAACTTCCTGAGTACAAACCAGAGCTAAAGGATGCCTCTATCCAGGCTGATGTAAAGACTAATGAAAGGTCAATGCAACATGAGAGTGAAAACACTCAATTCAACATCTTTTCAACGAGAGTGGTCAAGGGAGAAGTGAAACCAACGGTCCTGAGTGAATTTTCAATGACACCACAAAAGAAACACTTCATCAGTCATCTTGAATCATCTGCATACCCGAAGGAAGAAACGCTTACTTACAAACATTTTGTTCATGCACACACTCAAGTCAAACCGGAGGTGGATGAGGTACCAGTCCAAGTGCAGCCTCTTCAGGATGACCGTTCAACAGCTACAGAGGAACAAATCTTCACCAGTACTGAGGTGCAGACAGAGTTTGCTGAAGAACCGATGAAGGAAGTCATCAGAGTTAGTCAGGTTCCTCTGCAACAAACACCCTTCCTTGACTTGGGTCCGATTCTCATGGATTCTGGCGTACAAGTTAAACCAAAGACAACTGACCATGGTATGTCTCCCATTGAACTTGAACGTGGACCGATGCTACTTGACACCGCTGCCCAGCACGAGATTTATTCAGAAAATGCTTTCAGCCAGACCTTTACCTATCAGCAGGAAAAAAGTACATACACCAGCATTGATGTCCGACAGGAAAGCTCGCAAGCAACAACAGAGAAGAAAGATTCTGGAGTGCAAGCTAAGACTCCCAAGCATTTTGTTCATGCACGGACACAAGTCAAACCAGATGTCGATGACATACCAGTCCAGGTACAGCCTATTCAGGATGACCAATCAACAGCTACTGAGGAAATTATCTTCACCAGTATTGAGGTACAGACAGAATTTGCTGAAGAACCGATGGAGGAAGTCATCAGAATAAGTCATGTGCCTGAACAACAAACACCATTCCTTGATTTGGGTCCAATTCTTATAGATACTGGCACACAAGTTGAGCCAAAGACAAGTGATCAAGGTATGTCTGCCGTTGATCCCGGACCAGTGTTGCTTGATGCTACTGCTCAGCATGAGATCTATCTTGAACATGCTGTCAGCCAGACCTTCATTGATCAGCAAGAAAAGAGTACCTACACCACAGTTAATGTAAGACAGGAGAGCTCACAAGCAACAACAGAGAAGAGAGATGCAGGGGTACAAGCCAAAACAGAAAGAGAGGTTAGCCTGATGACATCGGGCATCCAGACTGTTGTCATCCATGAAGAAAAACCACAAATGATTGACATGGCAATGCAGTTCAGGCCGCTAAACACCGACCAGGCTACTCTGACAAGCATCGTTGCGACAACCAGCTCTCTCAGCAACACTGAACCTGTCAATATGAGGCAGGCCATGGTCCAAGTTGGAATTAAACCAGATACAGAATCCAGAGCTACCCTGACTACACCTAAGTACGTAAGAAACATCACCACTCAGGCAGAGACAAAATGTTATGATGCATGTGTCCAACATGATGATCTCCCTGATTTGGCTGACAAGGGTCTTCAGATCAAGCCAGTGATGGTTGATGATACATCAGAGACGGTTCAATCAAGGCATGTCGATAGGCCAACCCAAGTCGACATGGATGGCATGAAACCAGAAACAACTGATGTCTCCATTCAGCATGGTGAGGAAAAGGATATGAGAGACAAAATCTCCCAAGTTAAGCCGATATCAACCGAGGCGGGAGTGTTGACAGAAGTTTTCACAAAAGACAAAGGCAACCAGGCTAATTTTGCTCCAGAAGTTTATGAAATCATTCGTCCTGATGTCACAGAGCTACAGCACGCTCCTGTTCCATTCCCTGAAGTCATGACAACAGACAAGTCCATTCAACATCAACCTTCAGTTGATATACAGACTGTGCAGACCAGCATCGATGTCAGTGAGCGAGCATCATCCCCAGTTGGTCCTGATTACAGTGATGTCTCATCTCAGACTCGAACAGACGCCTCTAACATAGGACTGCAGACAAACTTCCAAGAAACCTCAACAGCTGAGGTTCAGGCTGTAATGTCCTATTTCAGTGAGGAGTCTTACAAGATGGAGTCTGTTGAGGAAGACTTGATTAGTGCACAGGTAGTCACAGAAGAACAGCACATTGCACCTTTACCAACAGTGCAGTATCAAGATGCCGAAATGCAGTATAACCCAACCACTGAGGATTCAACAACAGAAACTGTATCAACTGGAATCGATTTCGCGAACCAGTCACAACCTCTGACCATTGAGCAAGGAACAACTACTGACATCACTAAGCACTCCCAGGCTGAGGTTCAAGTTGATATTGGAAACAGCTCGGTTATAACTCATGAAACAGCAGTACAGCATGAGAGGATGTTTAAGCCAGTGGATGTGTTTACACAAGCTCATCCTCTGACTGTGGAGGAAGGAACATCCACAATGCCACTGAAGAAAACTGAAGTGTCTGTTCAGTACATTGCACCATCAGACAAAAGGCCATCCTCTCCACGGATTGTCACGCAAACTTCTGACAAAGGAACATTAGCTCAGTATGTAACATCCCAATCTTCAACACAGACAATCCTGTTCAAATCGGATGTCGGTATACAGTCTAAACCAAACACCAAGTCGGAGCTGACTCATGCTGCCATCAAACCTGATTCTCACGACCAATCTACAGCGACCAAACCTGATGTGCGAGTATTTGAAACCCAAACATTCTTCCCGAAGAAGAGTGAGGGCTCCCAGTGTGACCAAACTACTCTTGTGCACAACACCTCTCAGTATGAAAGAATGTTTGTTGAGGACAACTCTGTCCAAGTCAAGCCGGTCATCAGAGAGCAAGCAAACTCTCCTATCTTCAAGAGGAAAGAGGTTGACAATGCTTCTTCCCAGACAGACACTCTACCAGAGGACATGGACAGCTCCATCGAAGATCTCATCAGATCAGCTCCACATCAACCCTTCAAACCACAGGCTGACAGTGACTTCATGCACGACTACTCAGACCGACTCTGTGAGTACCTCGACCGAGATGAACAAATGCCAGTCCATGTTGAGCATCCCATCGAAAGGATCAAGGAATTATCTCAATTTGTACCACGCCAGGAAAATTCCTCACCTATATGGGACTACGCTGGTGATTTCTCCAGCCGCCTGTATGATACTGAAATGACTGAAAGTATAGACATCATTGACAGACTTTTCACATCAAATCAGAGCACCTTCGAATTGGAGGAACCTATTGCAAAAGATGAGACTGACCAACAGCTGTCTGCACCCAAATATTACATTGAGTCTGCTGTTCAGACTGGTCCCCTGCGAACCAAGGAAAGGAGCACATCACCCCTGTTTCCTCCAACAAAGGAAGCCCAGAGCCAGTTTGATAAAGACATTGGCCACACAGACACCAATGTCCAAGCTAGCCCAATTACAGCCAGTGAATCCAGCTACACTGCCCCAGTGTTCAGTCAAGATGTCTCTGCACAAGTTGACTTTGACATTGAAGAGGTTCCAACCAGTGATGCAGCAACACAGCATTACACACTTGGCCAGGATATCTCTGCTCAAGTTGAACCACTGATGACAGATGCTGGCATGACTTGCAAGGTAGACAGCACACCTACTTCCACTCAAGCCAAACCTGAAACATTGGAACAAGGGACATCAACTCTGAAACAATCAACACCAACTTCAGACATGCAGACTCAGGCAAAGCCAGATGCAGTTGCTAAAACGACCTCGCCACTGGCCATCCGAAAGAACCAAATGGCAGTGCAAACAAAGGTCGACCAACGTCACATCCCAACTCAGTATGACAGGGTGAGCTCTGCTGATGCAGTTGTTCAGATGAGCCCACAGTCCCTGGAGAAGGGGACATCAACCAAGCCTGAGAACAGGGATGTATCAATCTACGTCATTCCTACCCAGCGCCATGAGTCTACACAATACGAGCAGAGCATCAAAACTATGGACTTCATGGTACAGTATCGTGCCCAGCATCTTGACATCTCAACGCAGTCTATTGAATTCAAAGCTACATGTCTAGATCGGGCCAGCTCCCCAATTAACATGACACCTGAAAAGATTCTTCAGGACATCAGCCCCATCACAGAATCTCCAATCCAGCCAGTGATGGTCCAGCAGGTTTCCGCATCTCCAACACGATTGCAACCTTTCAGTCGAGTTGATGATACAGAGCTCCGTCAAGAAATCCGAAATGAAATCAGGATGAAAGTGATACATGAAATACGAGAGGAGATACGGGAGGAGGTACGAGAAGAAGTACGAAAGAACCAGATGGCAGTGCAAACAAAGGTTGACCAACATTACATTCCCACTCAGTATGACAGGGTGAGCTCTGCTGATAAAGTTGTTCAGATGAGCCCACAGTCTCTTGAAAAGGGTACATCAACCAAGCCTCAAAACAGGGATGTATCCATCCATGTCATTCCTACCCAGCGCCATGAGACTACACAGTACGAGCAGAGCATCAAAACTATGGACTTTATGGTACAGTATCGTGCCCAGCATCTTGACATCTCAACTCAGTCTATTGAGTCCAAAGCTGCATGTCTTGATCGGGCAAGCTCCCCCATCAACATGGCACCTGAAAAGATTCTTCAGGACACAAGCCCCATCGCAGAATCTCCAATAAAGCCAGTTTTGGTCCAGCAGGTTTCAGCATCCCCAACACGGTTGCAGCCTTTCAGTCCAATTGATGATACAGAAGTCCGTCAAGAAATCCGAAACGAAATCAGGATGGAAGTGATACGTGAAATACGAGAGGAGATACGGGAGGAGGTGCGACAGGAGATATGGGAGGAGGTACGAGAGGAACTTCTGCATGAAGTCCAACATGAGGTAAATTCAAGGGTTGAGATGGAGGTACGCGATGAACTGAGGACAGAGCTTGAGATCACAGTTCGTGAAGAGCTCCGGGAGGAGTTCATTGAAGAATACAAGGAAGAAATCCTGATTGAGATCAAAGAAGAATTAAAGGTTGAGTTTGAATCTCGAATAAGGCTCGAATTTGAAGAACGTACAAGAGATGACTTGGAGTTTAAGATCAGAAGAGAAATTGAGCCTCGGGTACGAAGTGATTTAGAGCCAATAATTCGCAGAGAGCTGGAACAAGAGTACATCAAGGAAACAATCCATGAGGTAAGGACCGAGGCACCTGTGATGTACCAGCCTTCTGAGTATAAGGCAGAACCAGTCAAGCCACTAATGCTGGACCGTGGAACCTCCCCAGTCATGAAAAACCTACATGATGCTCCTACTCAAGTAAGCACAGTTACTAAAGATAGATCGTCACAGTATGATAAACCAAGCAAACCGGTTGATGGCATCACACAGACCAAGGTGTACACAGTTGAGTGTGGAACTACGCCAGACAATGTTCGAACTTCAGATGCCCCAGTGCAAGCCCAGCCAAGCATGACCCATCGTGGGACAACACCAAGTGAAAAGCCAAGTCGTGAGTCTGGAATTCAAGTTGTGGTGCAGAAGATGGACAAGTGCGATCAGTACGAAGCCAAACCAAGCCAGTCAGATGTGTCTGTCCAGTTCTCTCATGATCCTCAGACAGTTGGATTTCTGTGCCAGGTACAACCAGACACTGATGAGCAAGGTACATCGATGGAAGTCACGAAGATACATCAAACATATGTACAGACACAAAATCCCCTCATAAGATCTGAGAATACACAAACTGTCACCGATCAGATGGATGCAACCTGCCAGTCTGAACCTGTATTCCACAGAGACACTACAATGCAAGTCAAGCCTGTGACTTTTGATAAGAGCACTTCTACTCAACCTCAAGAGACAGGTGATTATTCAACTCAGGTGGAACTCATTGAACCGTATGAAACCACTCAGAAGATCTCTGTCAAGCAGCAAGACAGTTCAGTACAATACGAGCGAAGCATGGACGTGACAGACAGGAGACTCCAGGCCAAACCAGTGGTTAGAGAGCAGGCCAATTCTCCATTGTCATTCCTCACATTTGATATAATCAGCCCTCAAAGGCAAGATCCAGTCCATGCACCATTTTACACAGTCCAAACGAGAGATGCACCTAATGAGCGTGCTTACATTACAGAAATAATAACAGGAGAGAAGGTTCCACCAGCAGAGCAAACACTACCAATGTTCACCTCGCCCAATACTTCAGCAGAACCCACAAGTTCCAAATTCTCATACAGCTTCAATGATAGACCAGGCTCCACTCATCAAGCCAAGAGTCCTTTAGAACCACTGGTTGCAAGGTTGGACTATGTCCCCATGAAGTCAACAGACCTGGACGCAATCAGACCAACTGTGTCAAGGACCTCATACAGGAGCTCCTATGAGTCATCGTACGAGTCAAGTAGTCGATTCACGAGAGACGTCCTACAATCCATGCCACCAAGGTGTGGGATGATTCTGCTCCAAACAACTGCAGCTGGTACAACCTACACCAGTGCGTTCAGGACATCAACACCAACGACTCGTGTTTCAGATCCTTCCACATCACTCTTTTCTCGCACAAGCATTCTAGAGCAAGGGAAACCTGTAGAATCCACACCCCCAATCACATCTCCAATCTTGTCAGACACCGAATCTGACAGTTTACCAGAAATGTCAGAGCTGGAGAAGATTCGTCGTGACCTCCGACTTTCCAAGGTGATTGTGACAGATGACCAGGCTACTTTGGTTGGCTACTTTGTAAACAGGGATGATGAACCTCAGACACCAGACCTACCAAATGGTTCACCATTCAGCCCACCGGAATATGCTCATCAGTCCTCCAGGTTTGAATACTCCAGCCACTCAAAATTTAGCCACATTCCACAAAGCCCTCATAGAGGTCGTCAACACTTCATGAATCTTGAGCATACACCAACAGAAAGCATTCCAAATATTATAATGGATGATGAAGATTTCCCAACACCAACTGAGGAAGGTGATTGGTTCAAGCGGGAGACCTCAGCATACAGGCTGAATGTTCCATATGACAAGAAGGGATCACCAAGACCTGGTGCCCGCATTGTCCATTCTTTATCTCCATCACAATCCCCATCACACACACCTGGTAGGATGTCACCAGTTTTCCTGTCCTCTGAGGATGGTCATCCTGTTGAATTGCTACCAATACCACGAGGTATGGTAACCCGTCTCTCTGATCTTCTGTCAGATGGGATCCCAAGTGATGACGAATCTGTACTGCCAATGAGCAGACTGTCGGAGATGATCGAGAAGCATCGTGAACTGAGCCAACCGCCAAAGTGGTCCCCGAGAAGTGACCTATCAACATCCACATCCCAGGATCCTGAGTCTGAAGTAGACACAACTGATTCAGACTCTGACACTGAATCATTCAGTGCTGTGATGGATTTCACTGATCCATTCCTGCACGAGAATCCAAACTTCTGGCGAGGAGGTCCCACCGACTTCACAACTTCATCTACCAACTCTGATGTCAGCTCTGATGACGACGATGTCACTGTGTATGGGGACTGCGATGTCTACTCATTTGACCTGCCCTTTTTTGCACCTTCCAAGCCAAGTAGGTCCCCACAAGATGCATCCTGGATGCCTGGTGAGCCACCTCGCAAGAGGCACTCAGTCATCAAAATCGACCGTCAGCGAGTCAGGGAAGAGTTGAGTATGTCTGAAGTCGTCCTCCCCGATGGGCCCCCTCGTCTCACTGGCTACAGAATTAACATGGACGATGGCAATTGGCAACGAGACAGGTACAGCAATCGGCTTTCAAGATCGGAGCCGGATCTCTACAGATCCACCACCAGCAATACCACTGTCACATCGCCGCCATCTTACTCAACTGCATATCCCTACACCAAGCTGGGGAGCAGCAGAAGACACCCTGCTCCGGAACAGCTGATGGTGGATGCTGGATCCATGCCAGCTCTCTCGGCAGAGATCAGGTATGCCAAGCTGGTGAAGAAGCAAGAAATCAGCCACACCCAGCAGTCCAAGTACAGCAGGCTTTCACACTCAGACCCTGACTTGGCCTCATGGCAAGAAGAGCTCTTTGATGTTGGGCACTTTTAGATGGACAAAAAGAACTGATTTGAGTATTTAATACTCCAAGCAGCATGTAGTTTATTGCTGCTAGTTTCAAGTAGGCAGTTGCCTCCAAAAATGTGCACTTTATAACAGCAAAATGATAGAGCCATTGGCAATGCGATTGATAATCCATCTTTATGCACCTGAAAAAAAGTTCAGGATCGTTGTGCCCTTGTATATATTGTTAACATGATTTGAAAGTTGTACTTAGTTAACTAAAAAACCTTAACAAACTACCAGACTGTTTTTGTTTAGAATTGTGTTTAAAATGGTAAATGATTTCCATTTAGGTAGTATTGCCATCTCAAGAACTGGCTTAAAAAGTTTATTGAATCACTGCAAATTTGTAAATGTAAGTGCCCCTTTTGTAAATTAGAAATTACTTTTTATATTAAGGTTGAGTGGTTTCGCTGTATATATATATATTTGTACTTCATATGTGTAATGAGTAACTAAATCACAAAGTACATATACTTTTACCGACTTTGTAACAAAAACTGTAGATTTATATCACAAAAGTAATTCACAGGGAAATCGTCAACATACATAGCCAGCTATATTGTAACGTTGTATTTAAGTATAGATATTTCTATAATAGGCATACAAAAATTGGTGCAAGTTTTTTTTATAGAGATATCATTGAAGCAAAGTGGCTATAAGCATGACTGTGTAGTTAACTTTTTCAAATACAGTTTTAAGGTAACAAATGTAAGTATCTATGCATTGTACATGTAATTTGGAAGCGATTTCAATTAAAAAAAAAAATAGGGCTATTCCAGCTTGCATGCCAGATTCACAAAACTCCACTTACAAACTATGGTAGTGTACAATGTACACAACCAGTGGGGCCATAGAATGTGAAATTATTACACCGATTTCTGTAAAAAAAATATTATAATGCAGGTAAAAGCACTAGCCAGAACCGAATATAGTGGACATTTAGAGTGTGATTGTAATTAAGTATGCGAATGAAATATGTAGCATTATCTGTTGAAGTGGCGTAGGATATAAAGCAAATTAAAGTAATTCATATGTCTGTGATTCAACTGTAAAATTTTGTTTATGGGAAAGTTACTAGGTTGATCTTGTATTATTTTTTGGAGAAAACACAGCCCAACTTGTAATTTTCAGATTTGTATATTTCAAACAATAAGTAATCATTTATATACTGAACTGAGGAAACATAAACTTTTGAAGGTTATGGTGCATTTGACAAAAAACTATAGGCCTAAAAAATATATATTTTTGAAGTATTGCTTTGCAGTTAGTTTTTACTTTTATATCTCTTCATAATGTATGTAAGGTTTTTATTATTTACTCACTTAGTAACTTGTGCAAAGTATGAGAAAGGTGCTTGAATCTTAATATTTTTAGGGAACAATCTTGATTTTACTCTGTAATTAATGTTGTTAGGGACAACATATGACAGATTCACTCAGCATGTATTTGATGTCAGATTTAGGTAATGCTTTGTCTTTGTTAATGTTTTCTGTATGTGTAACAACACTGAATCTCTGCTTAGGTTATTACGTCTGTTTGTACATAAATTCTTCCAATAATTATCTGCAGCTGCCTCATGTATTGTTAACACTCTGACTAAACATTGCATCTTTCTGTATTAATCTCTCCTTTATATTCAATGCACATGTATACTTCTATAGCATCTCAAACACAAATTGGGCGTTTTTTTTTGGTGTAAAGTAAGTAAGTTACAGATTTGTTATCAATTATATGTATAGGTGTATTTATTGAGTTGTATTGGAGTATGTATTTATGTGACCAGTTCTTGTATGTAACACAAGTTGAAAATCTTACTTGTTTGAGCACAACTTTGAAACAAGACATGAAAAAGGGAAAGCTAAGGAAAGTCAGTCTTTTATTCCACAATGAAACCTGTTAATATTCTTTGAATGCCTTTTGAAGGTATCCCAAACACATACACTCATTTTCTAAGATCTGGTTAAATATATAAGCAATGAACTATTACTTTATTTTGAAAATGATTAGAGTGATCATATAAATGAAATGATGTAATCAAGGTAGTAAGGGGAACAAATAAGTATTCAGGAGATATGTTTTTTTTAATAGAATTTGTTTATAAGTATGCACAATAGTGGTGTTTATAAGAGTGGGTAGAAGTGATGTCACATGGGATGGGTTACAAGTTGTCACTAATTGTATAGACCATGTCACATTTGTTTACAAATATGCAAACTTACAAATATACAAACTTACTGCATCTATATCAATTGAAGTGTCGGTGGTTTTTCAGTACTGATGCTCACTGTACAATAGGACGAAAACAGCATGAGAAAGTTGCTGGGGTAATTGTGATGACTATTTGTGCCAAGGTGACATGACAGAGAGATCATGTGACCTCGGCCAATTCCGATGGCGGTGCCGAATCATAAAGCCTTTTTCACACCCGTCTTGCCTGCCCATGTTGAAATCAACATGGGCCCACCATAAGTGGGGGCCACCTGCACTGCATACGTGGCATACCTGCATTCACCCTTAGGTGCTTGGGACTTTACAAATTACCTTGTTATAACAGGTACCTTGTATTATTCAGTAATGGAAAACAAAGGAAAACAAAGACTTGGGACCTAACATTTTTGCTTGTTATAAGCAGTGTATTGTATTATAATTTGCTTGTATTAACAGTGGTCTTCTTATCAGGGTTCGACTGTACAAGGGTCAGCTAAAGATTTTGTTTTATATCCACGTAGAGCCTCTCAACTATGGTCTTGACCAGGGTTTGATTTTACTCGTGTACAAAGCCTGACCTGTGTTCAAGCCATGTTTTGGATTCTTTCTCATGTACATGTACAAAGGGTTCCCAAAACCTGTGTTGGACCCAGAACACAGAGATTTTAGATAGTGTGAAAGGCATGTCTACAAAGGTCAAAATAATACAAAGTCTCTCCCCATATATGGCGTAATGAACAGGGGTAATAATTGTCATGATTGTAAAGCGGTTGGATACTTTGGTATAAAAGTGCTATCTATAAACATCACGTTATTGTTACAGGGGTTCAAAACGAAGTACATGTATACAATGACATCTATAGCAATGTGCACATTTTTGTTTTTAATATAACATTACTAGTCTGCATTATATATGACTTGAAGCTTTGCATGGCGGATGAGATAAATTAAAAAATGTGCGTGTAGTAACACCATTGGGAAAGATATCTCTTCTTGGAAGAAGTGTGGTTCTGAAAAGAACCGGTTCTTTTCAGAACCACACTTCTTTCAACAAGAAATATCTTCCACATGGTGTTACCCACAAATTTTATAATTTAGTCTGCATTACTAGTCTGCTGGCAAAGGAAATTGCTCTTGAGGAAGAAAGCGTAGTTTTTTTATATTTTGTTTTTAAATCCAACCCCCAACTATAGACTTTGTTTTTAAATTCATGTACCTGGATTTTTAAATAATATGTTTCCTAGTTTTCAGTGAAGGGCTAACAAATACAGCTTAATCCTTTCTCAATTTTAGTTTGGGACAACTTTGTTACGTGAAGTATATGCAACATTAATTTTAATTATGATATAACATGCATATTTAAGTCAGTGTATTGCCGGCTATATTCATTTATTAAGTATGTATTTGGTATTAATTAATGCAGGGAATTAAAACAATAGCAACGTAATATGAGAAATAATTCTGTCATTTGATGTCGATAGCTAAGTTATTTGCCAACAATCAGTATCAAGGTCCATTCTTTGGTGATTGCTAACAATTTTCAAATAATACTGAGCTTTAATAGCTCACTGTCGCATCATGTGCAAATTGAAGTACATGTGTATTGAATTTCCGGATATTGGCATATCTCCCAACATTTTGCCAATTTTAGTTATGTTTTAAAGGGAATGTACATCATTGGCTTTTGCTGTAATTTTCAGAAATGAACTATTTGAGGGGTTAGCATAATAGATCAAATATTATTTAACTGACATGTTTGAAGTTTTGCGTTCGAAAATGCTTGAAAACCAAGAAAAACACAACTGTTTATGTAGTCTGGTTCCCTGACTCCACTAAAGATAAAATGGATCAATTATATATGTCGGAAAATTTTAAGATAAGGGAACCAGTCTAGCTTGCCTGCACCCGTTCATGAACATGTAACCAATAGCAAACAAAATTTGGACTGAAAAAAAGTGTAAATTTGAAGCTGTAGTTGAAAAATAGTTAGGTTTTTCCAACGGTGGTCGGCTGACCACCGTTGGAAATGTATAGAAAAATATCATTTTCTTGAAAATGACTCGACACCAAGTGCCATAATTTTACAGGTGCCATAATGCTTTAGACTGTCATTTACCAACATCCTAGTAAGGTATTTCGTAAAAACTTTGTACTTTTATTTTTTTTTGTTTGCAAATGTTGTATATTCCCTTTAAGGAACAAAAGTGCAAGCACAACTGCCACTAGTGCTTTCAACCAATTACACTGTATATGCAACATTTTGCATTTTCCACACACACACAACCTGGATATGCCCTTGGTCACAGTTAAAGTTAATGTAAAACATTTGTAAACATTAAACGAAAAAAAAACTACCAAATTGTTATGAAATACTTTAGTTGACTGTAAGTGAATCTCAAGCATCCTGTGAAAATCCTGGCGCCTGGTGTGCTGTCATTTTCAAGAACAGTGGAAGTTTTGTATCAATTTCCAATGATGGTCTGGTGGCATATGTTGGAAAAAAGTACTGCCCCCAATTAACCAAATTTAGTTAGTCCACATTTTGTTTGCAATCTGTTACACATCAGTGAACGAGTGCAAGCCAGCTAGTCTGATTCCCTAACCTGACAATTCCCCGCTGTCTATAAATTGCTCCGTTTCGTCCGAAGTAGGATCAGGGAACCAGACTACAAGAACAGCATTTTTTGTGTGGCTTTTCCAGCAGACATGAACACAAAACTTTAAAACGGGTCAGTTTAACGATAATTGCTATAACACACTAACCCCAAAATCCATCCATTTTTGAAAATGATAGCAAAAGCAAATGTTGTACATGGTGTTTATTACCTTTAAACAAATTTTTTCAAAAGTCCCCCCCCCCCCAACAAGAAGAAAAAAAATAGTAAATCTAATAAAATACAAAGTCGCCATCACCAGTGTTATTGCATTTGGTACTTGGAAACATGTTGGTGAACAAATTGAACAGTTTTGAACAGATTGAGCTCCCATTCTATTTAAAGTTGCTCTTTCAGTGCTCTCCCAATGCTATTTTTGTCTTTCCCTTAAGCAAGTAGACGTTGTTTAAAAATTGCCATTTTCTAGCAATAGAAAAAAAAAAGTGATTCACTTTTGAATGCGACATCGAAAAAAAAATCCACTTATGTTTAGCTTTGGATATTTACATTACGCATTTTGAATTATTTGCAGCACAACAGACATATACCTTTCTCTGCGCGTTAGTGGACGCAAAGCACCCCAAAATAAACACATACTTTCAGATAGAAATTGAAACCAGTGATCCCGCGGATCGCACGTGTCGCCTTTCTTCGCGGTAGATCCCTATGTTTTGTGTTCTTTATAAAGTCACATTATCTGCATTTTTAAACAATGACCTCAATTGACCCCTAGATGACCTTTGACATCCAATTTTGGAAGAGTTGTCATGAACCCCCACCCAAGGATCACTCCATCCAAGTGACCTTAATATCCATCGAATTCTGTAGAAATGTTTGAAGCATATTTGAACAATGACCCCCACGTGACATTTGACCTCTGCAATCCGATGAAGAATTGTGTCTTCACACCGTGCACCCAAGGGTCACTGCATCCAAGTTTCACGGACATCCCAGCAGATGGACAATTTCGTGGCAAGAGCATGTTGTCCTTTTGTCCCCATATCTAAAGATTTCACTTGCGGGGTACCTCTACCTTTGTTCGACTCCCCCGCAAGTGGTCCATGGTAAGCACACGTAAGAGATACGGTCATATAGAATTTAGGACTGATGTCCCCCCCCCCCCCCTCCAAAAAAAACCCCTTCATTTAGGTGACACAAAAAGTAGCTTTTTCCATATAATACATAACAAATTGAAAAGTTGTTGGGGAAAATATGTTGAAGAGAATGGGAAGAGAACTTTAATCCGATTTCATCTGACTTAATAGTACATTAGGTCTAGCATGACAAAACAGGTTCAAACATTCTGACTTTGAGAATAAATAAAAACAAAACAATTTCCTTCAATTTTGATTCTTTTTTTTTTTATTCTTCATTTAAAATGAGACCTGCCAGTCTTATCAAACAGAAAAAGAAAAGGAAATTGACTGCAATATTTGCCAGTCCATGCCAAAACCAGGCACTTCCCAGCTAACAATCGTCTACTTCACTCTTTTGTTGTAAATTAAAGTTATGACATTATAAGTTTGATTACACAATCATACAGAGAAGACATGGTAAAATCTGACATTTGACATTATGAATGAGTTCTTAAAATTTGTGGGCTGCAGTTGAATGTTATTTCAACGATTCCAAGAACAGCCTAGTTTTGCCATGAACATCACATAAAACTCACTTTTAAGACTTTTGAGCAGAAAGAGCTTACTGCACAGAATTTCCATTTTTCATCCAACAATTTTCTCACACTTTTTTGGCATACAGTAGGAAAACTGTCTTCCAACTTTCTCTGTTCAGTTTTCCATTCAATAAAATATTTAGAAAAAGGGCATTTCTTATATGAAGACTGCATCACATACAATGTACAATACCATCAATATTAAAATTCATTATTCTTTGAAGAAAATGAACAGTCCTAAACCTTCTGAGAAATAAGAAATATTAGGCAAAAAAAAAAAAATATTCGGTCTCTGGGCAGACCAAAGTTCCGGAATTGACGCGGCCACGCGGCTTTTTTTTTTTTTTTTTCCTTTTTTTTTTTTTTCTTCAAGCTCGGATTGTACAGACAAGGTGGGTACTATTTTGCTTTTTTGGTGTCCTCATGTACATTGGTGTCCTCCATAATTTGCCTTGGTGCTTTCGATCATTTGCCTTGGTGCAATTTCCCATTCCTTGGTGCTCTTTGGTAAAAAAAAATTGAGGTGCGGAAATAGAGGGCGCTGTTGGAGCTACCGCGGAACATTTTTGAAAAAAAAAATCGACGCGCATGATTAAAATCGACGCGCGCGCTGACCAGAGACCGACTTCTTATTTTTTTTGGCCTTACAATGAAAATTTCACATAAAATATAAATACATAAAATATAAATATATAACATTTATTTAATAAAGACAAAAACAGAGAAATGAACTTACCTGTAGTCTGCTACCTGAAAACAAAAGCTTACATTCGAAAGTTAAAACCAAATCACCAACGATTAAAGCAATTCCACATCCTGTACATTGTATATCAAGAATAAAATAAAAAAAAATTTCACTCCTTTCGAGTATGGCAAAAACACTGTAAACTGAAACGTTGCTCGCAGAATCCCACAGCTCCAACCCTTGAATACTCACTTGATGCTCATGCAGTTCTTCACTCTAATCGGTCATCGAAGCTCCTTCACACCTAACCTCAAATCCAAAATCCTTTATTTCTTTACCACACTGGAAATCGCCTCAAAACCAGAAAATACTGAATCGCACACTAATAACACAAACTCGCAGTAATGGTCACATGACAGCGTCGCACTGATTTTATTGGTCATCCACACTGACAGCATGGCTTTCTAGTTCAGACATGTTAACACTGAAGCGAAAATTGAAATACATTCTTTACGGATGCTTCTCACTATTGCAAGCAGGCTTTACTAACACATCAACTACAATTCTGACAAACTCATCCACAGCCTTTTGATTTAAAATGGCAGTTTCTAGTACATTGTGTACACAACACAGACTTTTAAGGCTGAGCAAGTTTTTTGGGGGAGAAAACTCAAACGAGGCAAAAAATCTCCAGTGCACAAATCCATACCCTGCAGAAGCGTCAGGCTCACGTCCTCAACAACGGTTCACGCTAGGGCTGTGCCAAATATACTGAGTACCCCAGTACTGGATCATCCACCGAATATCTGAATTAGCATTTATTTGATAAAAATGTGAGCTGTCTCGAGAAGCTGATAATAAAATGTTAGTGATGTAATTTTGCTTGTGTATTACAGACAAATGGTTTTATTGTTTGTCAAGTGCCACGTTTGTGGACAGCCTCTTTACATGCATGATTTGAGAGCTCCAGTGAGCTGAGGAATATTGGCTTGAATTTGCATCTTTAAAATCTTTCAAAAATCAGTCAGTAAGCGATCTTGGAAAAACAAATATCAATACATACACGACAGTTTTGGAGATAAAAATATAATGTAAATTAATTTTTTGGCCTGGATAGTTTCTGATGTGTGTACAAAAGCCTGTGTGTATGCCTGTGAGCACGCTCCTGCCCGGGCCAGAATGACCAGCCATAAATCTGTCTAGAAGTCAGATTTTCCAGGAACATTTTTACATGGTTAAACAGCTGGATAGTAGGGCAATCTCGATTCAACAATCCCCAAGTTTCTAGACCAAACAGTTTAACACACATGATCACTTTCTCAAATTAGTACCTGAAAATGGTTAAGCACATTGCAGCAGACTGCCAACGCACAAGTTAAAACCACAGTTGAACTTAGTTTCTTATCCCAGAGGTCATTCAAAACAATCATAAAACCTGGGTTTACAACCGCCATAGCGATACACTGTGTTCATGTGGGCCATTGCAGTGCGTGTTGAATTATGGTTGCACCGAGCTGGCCTGTGTATGTGTGAAGTCGTGTCTTTGACACATATTGGCAAATTCCAGCTCACATCCCTTTACAGATACTTTCAGTGTATACGGAAATACCTTTGATGAGACACAGGCTGAGCATTAACATACACGAGATTTCTTTTTCACCCTCTTTCGAAAACTGTCCTATTGTTTTCAACAGGACAGGCCGGAATGGTCAAATAAAGGCAACGTCCATTTCCATACATACATGTACGTGAGGCAGTGGCTATTGAAAATATATTTCATGATTCGTTAAATTTTGCACATGGTCTCTCACTGATCAGGAAGTATTAAATGCACCAACCCTCAGAATGCTACACTATCTACACTTATGACAGCTGCATAAGAACCCTATCAGAACCACGGAGGGAAAGGGGGGGGGGGGCGGTGGTGGTGGTGGGGGAGGGGGAGGTGGTGGTGGGGGAGGGGGAGGTGGTGTTGGGGGGGGGGGTTGTGGTAATGGAGGGGGGTGGCAGTGGGGGTGGTGGAGGGGGTTGGCGGTGATGGTGGAGGGGGAGGGGAGGTGGTGGTGGTTGGGGGGGGGGGGGGAGCATGATGTGCCTCCTCCGAAACTTTTTGTAATAGCTTTCAAATGCTCTAGGCTCGTCGCTGCAGCACAATCAATTGACGTACTGGCTAGGCAACATTCCTGTTAAATTTTAGGAAAATTGGCCGAAGCATATCAAACTTAAGATGTGTACATTGTGCTCCCTCCCCTTCCAAGAGACCCTAAATATGCCGGTCCTAATAGGGTTAAGAGCCTTTTTACACTCATTTGATACATCCTTTTTTGAGTGAACAGTGCTGAATCTTTCTCTTTTTATAGCTTTGTTTCCAGACAGAAATGATGAAAAGGCTCAAACTAACACACACTACGAGCACCTGTTCAACATGGAAGATTAAACAAGCGGTAACAATGGGTTGAATCTTGATGTTACCGCCTTTTAAGTCACATTCTTTCATTAGTGTTTTGGACGCAACAGTTTTCACAGCTTACGTGTATATAATACTTGATGAGCACACACAACCATTTATTCACTGCCCTGGCTAGAAGGTTCTGTCCGAGCGAGATTCTTTCTCTGGAAGTGAACTTCACTGAAATCATCCAGCAATGATCATTCCACATACTACATAATCCCACAGTGTTATGCATAATACCACTTTGCACTCAGTGCCAAGATACATGTTCATGTAAAACTGACAATCTTCACATATAAAATTCTGGCGTGACAGCTTGGCTCTCGCTTTCAAGGCATTCCCATTGTCCCATCATTTCAAGTAAAACATTCAGTACCTTGATTCCGGATAACTTTCAGTTCCTTGAATCTGCATTAAGGCAATTCCACGGTTACTCACGTTACATTTTTGATGTACTTTTGAGATTCCTTGGGCTGTAATTACCTTACTGAAAAGGTTTAAGAACTGTTATCCCCATGGTAGATAGAGTAGACCTAGACCTACCTAAGCACCAAAGATGACATCCAGAAAAATGTGTTCTGTATGATAAACAAGACGCACAAAATCGGTTACTCACGTTATGAAAATGTAACTTGAGTAACCGATTTTGTGCGTCTTGTTTATCATACATAACACATTTTTCTGGATGTCATCTTTGGTGCTTAGGTAGGTCTAGGTCTACTCTATCTATCATGGGAATATAACGGCTCTCAAACCTTTTCAGTAAGGTAATTACAGCCCAAGGAAACTCAAAAGTACATCAAAAATGTAACGTGAGTAACCGTGGAATTGCCCATTACATTTTTCCCCATTACTTACAACAAGTTACATGAATGCAATTCCTCACCAATACATCTGCTAGTCAATCTTCAATCCATTAACTCTTAACCTATCACAATCTATGTGCCTCATACATACATACACCAATGTACATTCCGGTCCTTTACAATACAAGAGTTAGTGGGAAGATCATTTGAAATATGCCACGTCTCTCTGGTTGCCTTTTCATTAGCCCTCTTAACTTCCTTTTATTCTTGTCACTGTTTTTATCAGACCTCTTACTGGTTGTTTCTCACTTTCTAGATTACTCCTATCATCCATTCCACTATCTGCAAATGATTTCTGCCATCTCTTTATACAGTTATAGCGGAACACGTACCAGTACTGCATTCCTTGATAGCACACATTTCTACAGAACAAATACGTAATTAGACGGCATAATTTATATTATGTTAAAGTTAACGCGTGTAACATGGTACTGACCACAAGACATTAAATACATGCATCGCCGCCAACCCACCCCAATCCAGTGTGCAGAATCCCCCCCCCCCCCCCAAAAAAAAACCCACTACTACCGGTACCCAACCCACAGTCCCTGCTCTAATAGACCTTATTCAAAAGGACGCCATGCATTTTTGATTGTGTTCCCAGAACTTGATTTTCACATACGCAATTTTGTCGCGTGTTAATGTCACGCGTATTTATATACACGCACAAAATGAAGAGCACCTTTACATCTATGCGATGAAGTCGTGCTACGTATCATGCTAATTGCAAAAATCGCGCAACTTATCACTTATATGTTCGTGACATTACTGCGCGACACAGTTGTATCGCGCATGTGTTAATAGGCCTGGGTGAATGGGATGGTGCCAGACTATTTATGCGGTCCAAGCCTCGCTTTGAATATTTTTTAAAATGTGGTTTAAAAACATTAGCGTATTATTAATCACAATTTTTCTATAATTCACCAGAGTAGACTGGTATTAATTTGTAATTAACTGTATTTCATTACTTTGATTTCTATTCGCAAGTTCCAAAAATGAAAATTTTTCCTTGCTTTCAATTTAATATGGCCGACTCATGAATAAAGCCTATTAACCCCAATTTAGCCCCCTTCAGTTTCCCTCAAACCCCCCCCCCCTCCTTTCCCCTTCCACTCCCACCCTTATCTCCAGCAAATAAGATGCCATGAAAGATGAAACGCTACTTTTTGCCAAACATTGATAATATTTACAATTGTATTTACAACAATGTAGGTTTGAGTGTTACACTGCCCGATCGATATCAAAATAGAATGGTGCCTTTGCTGTCATTTGACACGTACAGTGAAGGTGCTGTTTGAAGGTACATTCCGACCTTCAAAATTCAGCGATCGTATTAACATTACATTTCAAAATTAGTTGTGCTACATGCTTTACAAGAACTTCATTGATTTCAATAGAGATCACTAACCTGAGTGTGTGTTTTAATCGCGAATTAACTAATAGCACAAAGCACCAAAGTAAGATGGCAAGATGCATGGGAAAAGTCTTCTGAGTTGTCTTTTTGGGATCGTTCATACAAGTAGTCTTGGTTTCAGACAGCTTTGGATCTGATTCTCCTAATGCTGCAGCACCCTGACTAATTTGGTCAAGTGAGACGCAGCAGTAGAAAGTACATTCAACTAGAGGAATCACATTCAGTCTTGGGAACTTTGGCGCCCGCACCCACGAAATTCACAGCATACCTTACATGCCATATATTTAACCCTTACCTTCCCAAAATGCTCCGTAATCCTCTTTGCAAAATGGCAAAAAAGTACGGCTGATTTTGGAGGATGCACTGTGTCAAGGTCTTGGGCCGGACCTTGTGTTGTTTATGCTCAGCCGTGCATAAATTTAGGCCCACATTGTACTTGAAATCCTCCGCACTGCACCGGGATGTCACTGGCTCTGCCTCAACATATTGACAGTGACTAATGGAGGATTCTGCAGCATTGAGGCAGTGGGCACCCCTCCAAGGACCACATTTAAAAAAATAACGGATGATATTAGAAGATTGAGGCTGTATGCAATTTTGCATGGAGGAACTTGGAGGATTTTGCAGGAATTGAGGTTGCATCCTAACAAAAATGCAAGGGAGGTTAGGGTTAATCTAATGTGTGCATGAGGTATGCTCAGAATTTGTTTGGTTCCCGGTGCCAAAGTTTCCAAGACTTTGTCCTCTGCCACCGCACAAACTGTACCATGCTTGCCAAGGATCTGACCAGCAGCATTCAGAGAAACAGAATCCAAATCCAGTCTTGGACCATGACTTCTGGTACCTCTCTACCAACCACTGCCTCCACTCTTACTTTCCCCCATTAAGTAACCAGGACTTCCTGTCTCCCCTACGCTAGACTGACTAGACCCCCATCCTAAGGATTGCTGCCCGGACCCGTACCCGCCGCTACTGTTTGGTGTCTGCATCACTTGATTTGACACTTGCGAGGACTGACTGCCTTGCGACAAGGAACCCTGAGATGGCTGTGACTGCTGCTGCGGCTGCTGCTGCGGGGGCTGGTTCCCCTGCTGCTGTTGCTGCTGCTGCTGCTGTTGCTGCTGCTGCATGCCTTGCTGCATACCCTGCGCCAGCATATTGCTCATCATGCCCCAGCCTGCCTGGCTCAGCGCAGCCAACATTGCCTGATTCCACGGAAAGTTGCCCATTTGTCCTGGACCTTGCCCGCCTGGGTTACCCCCCATACCACCCCCCATGCCCCCACCCATACCCCCACCCATGCCCCCACCCATGCCCCCTCCCATACCCCCGCCAACATTGGACGTATTGACCTGGTTCCCTGGTCCCCCTATACTACCTTGGTCTCGGTCCCGGTACCCGTCTCCGCCTCGTGGGACAATCTTGCCACCTCCCCGTCCTCGGCCCCGCCCACTCTGGGGGTAGTCCCCTCGGGAGTAGTATCTGCCTTGGTCCGAATATCCTTGAAGGGAAAAGAGACAGAAATCTGAGATCAGTTCTATTTTCCTTGAAATTCTTGCAATGAACCTTCCCAAGTCCACCGCCCCGTTGGTGATTTTAGTAGTAAGGTCAGTCTCAAGTTAATATAAGTCCCAAGCTGAAATGGAAATTATTTAATAATGCTGGATAACGAGAGCAACTGGGGTAATGTAGCTTGCCCAAGGACACAACATACGGTCAGCGGCTGGATTTGCATCCCTGAACCTCTGATTATGTGTCACAAACAGAACCATTAGCCCCACCCCTCCCCCATGACCTGGGTACACCCCATGCTGTTTAGATATTAAAAAGTACTACTGGGTTAACTGCCTCCTCTTCCCATACCCATGTCTTCAGTATCGCCCATGTTGCTTGGGGTATTGACAAGTACCTACATGTACTGGGTTACCTACCCCCACTTTTCCGTACCCATTTCCTGGGTAAAGCCGATGTTGCTTGGGTATTCAGGAGTATCTAATGGATTACCTACCTCCCCCTCCTCCATGTCCAAGTCCTGGGTATAACCCATGCCACTTGGGTATTCATGAGTATCTACTGTGTTACGTACCCCCTCCTCCATGTACCCATTTCCTGGGCACAGCCCATGCTGCTTCGGTATTCAGTAAGGAGTACCTACCTCCCCCTCCTCCGTACCCATAACTTGGGTAATGGTCATCTCCTTGCATTCTGATCTTAGGATTCTTGGGCTCAGCGCGATTCACTTGTAGACTGGTACCCTACACGCATTAAAAAATGGGGTCAGAATAAAACGGAGTTAAACCAGGGCCCAACTTCATGACAGAAAATTCTACTGAGAATATTTTTGTCACTCAGCAAAAATGAGCAGAGAAACAGTATGCGCAAATACGCATTGCCTGACATACAGTAGAGGCTGGTTTATCAGTTACTCCCTTTACTGCCCGAAACGCCCAGCACCGCATAGTTTAACCCTAACGATCCCCAACCAGCCAAACTCCAACACCAGGGTTTGTTGGGATCTGTTAGGATGAGTACTGCACTAGTAAACTGACTGTGCTTTATGTGGGGTTAGGCATACCACACATAAACAGAGTCCAACTGTTGATGTGCACAGTTTACCATATGGTGTTGGGATTTGCAAGGATGAGGAAGGTTCCTAGTAAATCACCCTAGGGAGTTAGGGTTAATGGATTCTTCAGGTTCGTACATGTACATTGTTTGGGTTAATTTCTGTTTTGCAAACCTTTCCACTACCATGTGGGGAGTCAGGTTGGCGTAGCGTTACTTTCCTCGCCTTCCACCGCTGTGACCGGGGTTCGAATCCCGCCTGCGTCAATATGTGGATTGGGTTTTCAGTCCCTACCTGATTCCGTGGGTTTTCCTCAGAATACTCTTCTGGGCTTTTCCTCCCACCTCTAAAACTGTAATTTCTTCACATTGTCTTCTCTTTACTGGGACTCATGGGAGATCAGTGGATTCCACTGAATGGGCTACCCAGTTAAAATAAGAATTGAATACATAAACTCTGCAATTTGCTTTTGCTCAGCAACAGATCCACAAAATTGGCCCAAGCACAATGTGTGTTTCCTCAAAGGTAAATGTCATATCTACAGTCTAAAAAAGATCAATACATATCCAAAGTTAGGAAAAGCAAAAATAAAAACTAATTTACCTTGTAAATGTGGTCTTCACTGGCAACAACTGTTGCCACATCAGACCTTAAGAATGTCACAAACCCGAAACAGCGATACGGCTTTGGGATGTAGACATCTGTGACTTCACCATACTTAGAGAAGTAGTTATACAGGTCTTCCTTGGTCATGTCTTGCGGCATGCGTCCAACAAACATCTTCTTGGAGTCTTGGGAATTCTAAAACAAAGAAAAAAGACTCAAGGACTCAATTATACCAATTTGAAGAGTGAATGGCAGTGGGAGGTACAGTGATTCTGGTGGTGACGATTGTGGTAATGAATGCTGGTGATTTTGAGGATGATTGGAGAAGTAGCTGCAATGATCTGGGTGATAGTTGCTATGGTGGTGATTACTGTGATGATGAATGGGGTGATAGTTGTTATGGTAGAGATCATGGTGATGATGATTTGACAGAGAGTTGTAACTGTGCAGCTGATGATATTGATAATAATTTGGGTGATACTTGCTACGGTGATGATCATGATGACAATTGGTGAAACTAGCTATGGATGAGTTAATGCCAGTGATTGAGATGATAGTGGTGATTCTAATGGTGATGATTGAGATAATGGCTATAGTGTTGATGAAGTTTTGATATTAATAATAGGGCTGTCTGGAATATATCGAATATTCAAATATTCAATTATCAACCGAGTATTCAAATAGCTTTTGCTGGTTCAAATATTCAAAACATTAAAAACTATGCATCTAAACACATGACCAAGATGTTATTTTAATCATTTCATTGTCAGATGCCACATTTTGTTGACAGTAACTTTTTTGGTCGATGGCATCGTATCTATCCTTTTAGCAGGTTAAAACCACTGACAGTTATAAAATACTGACTGCAAAACTCTCCTGCAGCCCAAAACATGGATCAGACCCCGCGCAAATTTTAACCGATGCGCTTTGCGCGTGCAGCTTTTGACAGGTGCCGCCTGCAGCTGCAGCTGGCATGTGTAAATTTGAGAGTCGAGTTTTGAATATTCGGATATTCGGTCCAACATAGTTTCGAATAATTGAATACTAAATTATTCGAAAATGGACAGCCCTAGATGATTATGGTGATTGTTGTGATGGTGGTGATCTTGGTGATGATAATGATTTGGCTAATTGTTGTGATAGTGGTTACGATGGTATACAAACAGTGAATGTTTGTGAGTGCAATGGTAAGAATAATTGCATCTGTCACCGAATGAAATTATTCTTTCCATTGCACAAACGTGAAACATTCATTATTTGTTTAATATAACACCTGAATAAATCCCCGTCATCTGATTGGCTGACTTTGGATAGCCAATTTATTCAAGTTTAAAACTGTTTAAAAGTTCGACAAGTCCCAAGCCATCATATTTAATTTATGTAAACTGTTCAACAGGTTGAAAACTATCATATTCAATTTATCTCAATTTAAAAGCTGTTCCACAAGTTCAGAACTCAAACAGGTCAACAAGTTCAGAACTTTTATATCCAATTTATGCAAGTTTTAAAGCTGTTCCACTGCGCCACCAACGGCAGCAGTCAAACCATGCAATGGAAGTTCTATTTACAGTGCAATACAACTTCCATTGCACTGTGCACTGAGCGCCGCAAGCGCGCTGTGCGTTGTGATGAATAATTCAATGACATATGATCAACGACCCACCAATCAGATGACGGGGATTTATTCAGGTGTTGTATAATAATGACTGCAATGATACATGTACATGTTTCTGCAATGGTGATCATAGTGATGATGACTGGGTGATAGTTGTTATGGTGGTGAAGGGGTGATAACGATTGGGTTGATAACGTTGTCTGAGTTGATGGTAGTGACGACATGGACGATGGTAAAAGTGACAATGCTATTAGAATAATTGTTAAAATGAAGACAAGGATTGTTCTATTAGGAAGACTCTCATCAATGAAGATACTCTGGTTCTTACCTTCGAGTCTGGTATTTTGACGTCACAGTATCTACCATCAATGTTGTGCCTCTGTGATACCACTGAGCTTTGCACTTTGTAATCCTTGAATCTCACAAAACCAAAACCTTTGGATTGGTTCTCCAGATTCTTCTTGATCTGAAACAAGAAAAAAAAAATCTTCAATGAAAAGTTGTTTTGAATCAATGCGTCTACCCAGGTTCAAATCTGACACACTGTATGTGGAGGATTTCAAGTATAATCTAAGTTTAAATGTATGCATGGCTGAGCATAAACAACAAAAATGGTCTGGCCCAAGACCTTGACACAGTGCATCCTCCAAAATCAGCCACACACTTTGCAATATAGCCTCAATCCTGCAAAATCTTCCAATTTGTAAAGAGGATTTAGAAGGTTAGGAAGTAACCTTGTCACACAGAGAGTTACTGAACAAGAAAAAATAGCACTGTGGAGAGCAGTGAAGCGTGACCCAATCTGCCTGATTGGGCTGAGCTTAGCTCTACAGAATTTGTGCAGGAAGTGTTAAGTCCGCCACACACCTTTTCACATTTTACCAGATCACCAATACTTTTATTTTTTAACCATTGCGGAGACTGCAACGCTACCCACACACATGCCCAATTCTATTCTATAATCGGTCACATGATGACCAGTCACATGATGACCAGTCACATGATGACAAAATGGCAGCCATCAATTGTGAATCATGTGAATGCCTTCGTAAATTTATCTGAATTGCTAAGATAAATATCGCGTCCGGTGAAATCGGAGTGCTGCCCGCACACTTTTCCGGTGAAATCAGATGTGAAAGAATCAAACATGTTTGATTTCATCAGGTCGCCCAGTGTACGGTCAAATCAGTCTGACTTTTTAGCACACACCTTTCCGATCTGTATGTGCGATAGCCTAATGAGCAGTGTACCAGTAGAATTGGAAATCTGTGCTGTGGGCTTTATCCATGCTTCACAGAAGATAACCTCAAATGAATATGAAGTGTGGGGCTAACTCTATTGGCAAAAGTGGTTCTGAAAAAATTTGAAGGATTGTTTAGAAGACTGTTGTGTACAAAAAATGTAGCTTTAGGCCTAGTGTTCATGAACAGAGTCAGCAGGCTTTACATTTTGCCAGCTAAAACAATGTTGCATTAACCCAAACATTCATTCTGTGCCAAGTGGTCCTTTCAGTCAAAATCAAACAAGTGATTGTTTTCAACAGTTAAGAATTCCATAAAAGCAGGATTGACTAGCTCGGACTATTTATTAATAACTTGATACAGCTATGCTTTGACTCCAGGTGAATGATAAAACAGCTGTGACCACAACTTGCAGGGGTCCGCTCATAAGTCCGACACCTCATAGCTCCGACGCCTCATAGCTCCGACGCCTCATAGCTCCGACGCCTCATTGCTCCGACGCCTCATAGCTCCGACGCCTCATAGCTCCGACGCCTCATAGCTCCGACGCCTCATACATGTAGCTCCGACACTTCATACCCCCCTTTTTCCGACGTCGTACTTACGAGGCGTCGGACTTATTAGGTGTCGGACCAATGAGGCCGAATAATTCAATTGTAAGCCTCATAAGTCAGACGCCTCATAAGTCCGAAACAGGTGTCGGACCTATGACGCGTCGGACTTATGATACGACCCCAACTTGCCTGCTTTGTCCCAGTTTGACTAGTCACAGTGCTTGCTTGACATATGATCTGACTGCTGGTGACTAGCTTTTGTTAAAACGTATGGAAGTGAAAGTGAATTTTCGACTGTCTGTGACTGCTTAGAAGGAGGAAGGTTAAGCAAGAGTGGTATTAAAAAGTATGTCACTTTGGGAGCAGGATTAGGAGTTGCCTAACCCTGACATAACCCACAGACCATCATCATGTCAACCTTTCCCAGGTATGTTTGTGCCTTCCACTTAGTTTGTCTATTGTGCCCAGGTATCCCACTCGACGCCATCAGCCTTTGTCCCTTAATAAGGCTTCAATGCGGCATGGCATAATCAGTCTTTTCTTACTCTAATTTTTGTTTCAATAGGTCTATTGATGCTCCATATTCAAATGATGTAGTAGTCTTTTCGTAGCAGTGATTTTCGTTGATTAAGATGTTTATTTTGTTTTCCTTAAAAATCTGAGTTTTTAGGAATAAGGGAGACCTATGGAAGTGAAGCCAGCAATGTCAAAATTCCTGTCCAGTTGGTAAATAGATAGCTACATTTTTTTTTTATTCACAATTATTGATTTGCTCTTTATCAGTATGATTCGGGTTCAATTTTCATGGCAAATAGAAAGCAACGAATATTCCTTTGAAAAAATGTAGCCCAGTTGATTATATGGTGAGTTTTATTGGAATCTTATTTTGAGTATATCTTTTCGGGGTTTAACTTTGGGAAAACTCACATAAGGGAAATTTTGGACATTTTATGCCACCATAGCGCCAGAGTATGTTGGTAACATGCGAAGACTAGTGGATGTCTCACACTGAGCATGTGCAGCAAGTAACCCCCAAGTGACTACACCGGCAATAGGCTATGAATGTATACGTGTTTCCACACAACATGCACATACCTCACACATGAGAACTTCACCGAAATTCTTCTCAAAGTATTCCCTCATGCTGGCTACCGTTGTCTTCCAAGCCAACCCGAGCACTATCAAGTCCACTGTTTTATTCTCTACGCGGCGGGTCTTAGCTGAGTTGTTCTCACTGCTGTCATCTCCTTTGCGCTTGTTGTCTGTGAATACCAGAAAAAAAACAAAGTCAGTATTCAGAATAAATGCAACACACACTCTTTTATTATGAGGTATTCTTGGCAAAAGTGCTTGTTTGTATACAGGTGTGACATACATGTAGTCCACCCAAACTGACAACTTTTAACGACACAGCGCAGCGTATTCAGCGCGCCAAAATGACATACATCATGATGTACATACATGTACAGGTACTGTTTCGCAATGCAAAGTTTACAATCTTCCCTCTATCCCAAATGGTCGAGCCGAATGTGGAGTTGACCTGCTGAGGTCACGCGAAGATCAGCGCAACGTACGTAAACACACATGAACATGACCGCTGCATTCGTTGGATCAGCAACGCAAGGCTGGTGAGTACAAATTCAGATTTTCCATCCCAAATGTTTTGTCCCATGATCCAAATGTCAATCGTTCTAAAACATTTCAGAGTTAAAGATCAACCAGTTCAACTTTTTGGTGGATTTGTGCTTCAGAAAGTGGAATTTCAGACAAAGGTATTTCATCTAGTAAAGGGCATTTCCAAAAACCATAGAGTGCTGACCCCCGAAAAATCACCATGCTAGAAGGCTGATGGAGAGAAGCCTTCTAATTCTAGAACTTAACGGAAAGAAGCCTTCTAATTCCAAAAGTAGTCCCCACCCTGTTCATCATGTTCATAATCATTCATCTTAATCAAAGAAATATTCAGGCATCAGTATTTTGTTTTTTGGTTACATGTTCTCAAATGTTTAACTTGTCTTTTAAATTTCGTTTACCTTGAGAAACATTTTCAAGGATAGGTTTATATTGTGATAAAACAAAGTAGCATTTAGGCTGTGTTCCCTTTCTCAACGACATTTAATTTCTGTTCATGTCTTGACTGTTTTGGTTTTAAAAATAAAAATAAATTTATAAAAGGAAAAAAATAAAGCAAGTTGAAAAAATGAAGATAGGTAGGTGGTCCTACCTTTGGGGAAGACTGCTATATAAAGGTGGTCTCCCCACACATCATCAGGCGGTTGTATTCTTCCCTCCACGACCCGTAGTCCCCTCAGACTCCGTGTACCGGGGTTGCGGTACTTGAGGCCCGAGGCGCAGGGGAACTGCGCCGTCAGCGTGCTCAGCAACATCGTGCCATCCGGCTCGACCGGCAGCTCGATCACTTCGGGGTCCAACTCGTCCTCAACGACACGGATATATGCCGCCATATCTAGGAATTTTACAACCAAGGGTTGCTATAAACATTCACAATTTATCCTCACCATGTAATTACATTGAAAAACGGGAAAAAGTGAAGAAATTAAGATTTTCTTGGCGACTTTGTCAGTCATTCATTTTTACAAATTTTGTTTTGATAGCTAGGTGCAATATTTTTTACTATGTGGACAACAGACTGCTTAAGTCAAGGCACCAGACTTAACTTCCACTGTTGAGGGCGCTCTATTCAATTTACGATAATCAGAGAACACTACATACACTGAACATTATCAGCCGCGTTGATGGTTTCATTTCAAAAAGAGGAGGATGAGGGCCTTTTTATTTTTTTATTTTTATTGAAAAAATAGGCAAAATAAATATTCATATTGAGCTGACACGATATGTGCCTTAAAGAGGAGGAGGTCCTTTATATTTTATAGTTCTAGGTAGTTAATGTCTGCTCACAACTTGAACATTCAGTAAAGCTATTCAGAAGCATCTGAACTTCTGAAACATCTTTTATAAAAAACCTGTTGCCTTAAATAAAAAAAAGCGGGGATGATCAACTAGCACTATTTTTTACTTGGCCTTAGTTTAGAGGCTCATCAAATTACTAATAAAACATATTGACAGTCCTAATCAGATAAAAATTTCATCGTACTAAGCCATGTCATAGTTTTTACTTTTTTTGGGTTAAAGTAGTGAGCACCTGATAGCTTGAGTAACTTTTTTGAATAAGATGGTGCATACCTTTAATTATTATAAATGATGGTCCAAGTGCAGGTTCACTGCTACACTGCTGGACCCACCCACCCGACTCGCTTCCCGACTGATTATTGATGATAACGGCCATCCCGATCGGGCTCGTGTTTGTTTATAACCAGCAGAATTGAAATTTAGCCTTGCATTTCCTTTTTGTTATCTTTACGATGTTTTCTTACGCTACAAAGTGTTACTGAGGCCGGGTGATTATCATAACGTGTTTTTCTTTCTAGTCACAAACTGAAACCGTACAGACCGTCTTCAAAGTAGAAAATCGAAGTTTAATTAATCGGCGATTAATTAGATGCAACTCGGGTGTAATATGCCGCTGTGTGACATACAAACCAACATCGACAATGGAGATATTAGTAAGGAGTTTGTGCTTCAATTAGGACACATTATATCACACCACACCTCTGGAAAGGTAAGACGGGATCGCAGTCGAAACTGCACGCAGTTATAGGCTTGCTCGCACCGCGCGCAGCGGAGCGAGTCGGCTACTGTCTACACTGTAACAACAGACAAAATGGGTTGATACGCAGACCAACTGGTCAGTATATCAACAGGTTAAACTCTTGGGCAAATTCTTCCCAATAGTTGGAAAATGTTTACTCAAATTAGGTTATTTCAAACCAATGTTGGATAAAATTATGTTGCCCAACAGTGTTTTTACCCATCATTTTTTTTACAGTGTGGCTACAGTGATGATGTAGATCGAGGAGGGGCTTGCACCCCCCACCACGTTTAGCCGCTGAATATATGTTATACTAGTAAAAAGGGGCCAAAAATAACAAATGGAATGATAAACCGGTTCCTAAATTTTATCTTAAAATAGCCTTAGAATACAAGAGAAAGCATCGCACAAGGCTGGGGCATGCCCCGGATATAGCAGGGCACGGGGGTACGCCTTCAATCGATCCCCCCCATTCATATCACCCCACCCCACCCCACCCCGCCCCGCCCCACCCCAGCCCACCTCAGCCCACCCCACCCACTTTCCTGAAAGCCCCCGAGTTGTTTACTAACCATAATTGTTTCCGACTATGATGAAAATGCACCATAATGTCTTACATTATGGAGAAAAAGTGTGTACAAGCATTACATACGCTGTGTGGACTTCCGAACAAAAGAGGTCCACATAAATAGCAGCGACGTTGCGTGGACTTGCCCACGTCTACACAGTGTTTCCCCATTTCTGGAAAACCGGTTTAGAGGCATTTTTGGGTTACGTTTATGTGTGGCAGAATGAAGAGAAACACTATGTAGAGTGACTGCCTATCCATGCGTATAATATACTGATATTATCAGACACAACAGCAGTCCTCCAATGTGACGTCAAATGCAAGGAGTCTATTTTCCTAAAAGCCATCAAATGATGAGATAAAACCGTAATTTAGAGCCAAAATACTTTGATATGTCAAAAAGCTGCAGCTGTTAATTTACACAAGGTTCAGTGTACGTGTATGACCATTCTATTGTTTTATATTTTGTATTTTTTGATCCACCAAGGCGTCTACAGTACGTGTCCGAGCAGGAGTGAGGATGTTCATGGGTGCTGGACCGACCTCAGCTCCCCTCATGTTGATTCAACTTCACGGAGGATTCACTGATGGTGACACCAACAAACAGATCTGCGAGGCCATCATCCAGTGTTCAACTAAGGAACTCGGCATCCGTGAAGACCGGTAAGATTCTCTGCATCTAGATCTGCCGAACTATAGAAGCGCCCTCATTGAAAAAAAATTGACCAATTATTAATGACTGCACTTTTATTAATTTCTTCTTTTCAGGATTAGTTTGGTGTTTCACTACCTACCCCCAACTCACGTAGGCTGGTCTGGGGGCCGACTGGTGGCAGATGTTTTGCCGGAAACCAGACTGAGGCAGCTAATGGGCGGTGCAGACTCCTGAACACTCAGTAGCAAGATGAACAGAGTACAGATGTCATGCATACAAACGACAACTTCATGGCAGCAAGGGACGTTAAAAAAAAATAAAGGAGACCCTCTATTATAAAAGTAGACATAGTGTACCATGGGCCTCTGGGTCATACTTTTCCTATTGGAATGAAAAACAAAAATAATATGGCCCCTTCTCGCTTTCTTTTATCAAATAACACCCTATCCCATCGACTTCGTTTTCGGCCGCGGCTTTAAGACTGTGAGCATTCGCTTTAACTGCCGCTGCAGAGAATCGCGTCGATCAAACATATTTCGAAGACATTTCATTAGAATACAATATATTAAGTTCGACGTTTGAAACAATAATAACGACCCTGCGCGAGCAGTTGCATAGGGGTCATTCCATGTCAGACCAACGCACTTTTTTACCTCATGTCATCCGATTTTGATAAAAATTGCTGTGCTTGTAGGTCCTGATGAGCAATGAATGCACACCAATTTTTAGCCCGATCCGACCTACCATGTGCAAGGGCGGATCCGGGGGGGGGGGGGGGGGGGGGGGGGGCAAAGGGGGCCATGCCCCCCCCCCAAAAAACGAAACCAATTTTTTTTTCATTTGTATGTAACATCGCAATAAAGACAGGCAATGAGTACACCACCATCTTTTCCTCAAAAAAACATTGGTTAAAGTGGTCAGAAATTGCCTCAGATCGCACCACAGAGCATCTAGAATCCACATTTTTTTCGGGGCCCTAAGCGGGCCCCGAACCCCACGCCGTAATTTGTTTGACCCACTTTTTTGGGGGACCATTTTTTTGGGGGCCCCCCCCCAAATATTGTGTTCTGGATCCGCCCTTGACCATGTGGTCAGGGCAGAAACCATGAAAAATTGACATTTTTAGAGTAAAATACCACCCTTTTGGTAGAAATATGTCAAAACCATGTCAATTTTCATCGAATATATGCAAATTTGGTATCAAAATAATAAGAATTGCATGCTCAAATGAACTCTTTTGTCAAAATTAAATTTTGTGAAAAGGAGGTCACTTGACCTTTAATATGTTATCATGACCTTTGACCCAATTTATGTACTAATGTATCATTCCAAAAATCAACGAAATGAAAATGACTTGATAGAGCATGTCTTCCTCCATCAGAATCTACTAAAAATCAATTGGGGTCTTCAAAATTTACAACTTTATGACTATTTTTGTACAGTTGGTGGGTTACAAATGGGTCAATTTATAGACTTTACATTAGTAATCTACCCACACAACTTACTATTCTGTTTCTAAAGCTACTTAAATTAATCTTGCTTTGCGAATTTCTCATGTTTAGGGCTGATGAGGTCTAACCAGACTCATAATATAAATTATCAGCAGTGGCCCATCCAGGATTTTGCTTTTTGTGTGTGTGTATGTGTGTGTGTGGTGGGGGGGGGGTGCCTCATAATTTGTTTGGTTTCAAATTTCTGTAGAAGATTGGAAAAAAGAATTACCCAAAAATCAAACAAAAAAATTGGCATTGGCAACCTTGGAGGGGGGGGGGGAGGGGTGGGTTCCAGCCCCTTGAGCCCCCCCCCCCCTCCCTGGTGCCACTGATAATTAGTTATCCCACGAGCACGCTTGGAATATGAAACAATGCAATGCTACTGTGACCCATATGCCACCCGACGCACTACGTTATTCCGTGTTCCACAAGCGCAAGTGGGCTAACGAATTTATCTTCAAGCAAACTTGACGTCGAATGCTTGAGAGTCGATTGTCATTAGCAGTTACTGTTTAGGGTACGCAACAGCTCTATGCTTTCTATCCAGACCCAGTACAGCGGACACACATCCAGGTGAAATTTGACTCGAAGGAAAAAATTGCCAAGTCTGTGAGACTCATTAAATTTCAAGAAGCGCAGTGATGAATGAGTAAGGTAACTTTGATTGCGATATTGAGTATTATCTTCAAGCAAACTTGAATCCTAGACCCTGATTAGTCCATCTATAGCAACGACAGTGTGATTTGATATAATATTGCACAGCTATATTGCACCCCAGATATCGAATGTATATGTACATGTATGTATTGTGTTCTTTTTATTTGCTGCTGAACGGTCCGATACACTATGCACCTACATCCCTCACCACGTACAATGTACGCATTCGACGTCAAGTTTGCTTGAAGAAAAATTCGTTATGGCTCGTGGAACACGGAATATTGTAGTGCGTCGGGTGGCATATGGGTCACAGCAGCATTGCATTGTTTCATATTCCAATATTCCAAGCGCGCTTGTGGGATAACTAATTATTAGTGGCACCGGGGGGGGGGGGGGGGGGGGGTCGAGGGGGTGGAACCCAACCCCTCCAAGGTTTTCAATTTGTTTGTTTGATTTTTTTTTCAATCTTCGCCAAAATAAGTAGTACTAGTAATTACAATCCCTCCTTCATCAAGACTAAACAAGATGCTGAAAATAACATCCAACTTAATAACAGCAATGATAGTGTTATTAATGAGCCTTTTAACATTGACGAGGTAAACCATGCCATCGATGCTTCTATGTGCACCACCCCTGGTAAAGACGGAATTAGTAATATGGTCATTAAACATCTCCCCATCAAAGTTCGTGAATACCTACTTATTATATTCAATATGGTTTGGCACACTTCCCAATGTCCCGTGCAATGGAAAGAAACTATTCTCATCCCAATTCTCAAACCAGGGAAAGATCCTGTCAACCCTTCATCCCACCGACCTATAGCCCTCACCTCCACCTTTTGTAAACTGATGGAACGAATGATTAATTGCCGTCTTCTCTGGTACATTGAAACACATGATCTTTTCAGCCAACATCAGAGTGGATTTAGAAAAGGCCTCAGCACCAAAGACCACATTATCAATCTGGAGTCATCGATAAATAAAGCCCGGGCGAACAAAGAAAGCACCCTTGCGGTTTTCCTAGACGTCGAAAAGGCCTACGATATGCTATGGCGCAAAGGGGTCATCATCAAACTTCAAGCCATGGGCGTATATGGTCGCGTTATCTGCTGGATTAACAACTTCCTCAGCGACAGGAAAATTCAAGTAAAAACTAATGACACCCTCTCCTCAGAAAGAATTCAAGAACATGGCGTCCCTCAAGGCAGTGTCATCAGCCCCCTTTTGTTCAATATTGCAGTTAACGATCTTTCCCACCACATACCAGATGTTCACATGTCCAAATATGCCGACGATATAGCGATCTGGAAGTCAAACAGAAACATCCCATTCATTCAAAAGAAAATCCAAAAAAGTCTCAACAATATCCTTTCATGGTGCGGAAAATGGGGATTCAAGCTCTCTCAACCCAAAACGATAGCGATCCTCTTCACAAACAAACAGAAATCTAATATTTCTCTCCTCCTTCACCATAATATTCAAATCCTCCAATCAGCTAAATTCCTGGGTGTCACCTTTGACAGCAAGTTAACCCGGAAGCACCACACTAACAATATTGTCACTAAATGTAAGAGAAAACTTAACCTTTTGCGTTGCATTAGCGGAACTACATGGGGCGCTGACTGTAAGACACTTTTCCAGTTATATAATGCCCTTATTAAACCGATCCTTGAATATGGTTGCGAAGCTTTTGATTCAGCTTCAGCCACTATCAAACAGAAGTTGGACAGTATCCAATACCAGTCACTAAAAATCTGCACTGGAGCCCTCCAATGTTCACCTTTGTATAAACTTCAACTTGAATGTGGCGACCCCCCACTGAATCTTCGTCGCCAATTCCTAAGTAATCTGCACAATATCAAAATAAATGCCCATAAAAAACATCCTAACCACCATCTCCAACAGGACAATTGGCAGAAAAACTACTTTACAGAGAAATGGAGACTAACTGCTCATAAAACCCCTTTGAAGCTAGAATTACTCAATACCCTATTGAAACGTTTCCTTTAATCAACCCTTTCCCATATTGGCATTATTATAAACCTAGTATATCTACAGAAATTGTCGCCCAGGTCTCGCATATAAATGATATCAACATCAGAGGCAGTATTAGCAAAGAAATTATTAACACTGTCCGGAACAATTCACTCCAAATCTATACTGATGGTTCCTTTAACCCCGATTTCAATACTGTTGGCTGTGGCCTTTATATTCCTCAACTCAAGTATTCCAAAAGCATCAGACTTAATAATGGCATCTCCATATTCACAGCTGAACTTTTTGCTATTCTTCTAGCTCTAGAATGGATTGAAGATGTCAAACCCATTCATGCATGTGTGCTCAGTGACTGTCTCAGTGCAATTCAAGCCATCTCGAGCCCCATTCCTCAGAATAAAATTATCTGTGACATTCGCCATACCCTCATAAATATACAGCACCAAGGCAACATTGTTGTCTTCGAATGGGTCCCTGGCCACTGTGGAATTCCTGGTAACGAAAAAGTTGACAAAGTTGCTAAATCTGGCGCAAAAAAGCCAAATGTCGATCACAATATCCCCTTTTCTGATACCGAAATCAAAAGATGCCTTAAAAATGACCTTATAGACCAATGGACGAAAATTGTCCCAAACCTCGATCTGACTAAACATTTCAAACTTAAACCCTCTTTCACCTTCACCAATTGGGGTAAAAGACGCCAACAAGAAATCCCCCTTCACAGACTTCGGCTGGGAACTTGCAAAGGACTTAATACCTTCCTGCATAACATTGGTCAACACCCCGACAAACTCTGCGTTACATGTGGATGCACGGATGACGTCGAACACTTCATGGTTAAGTGCACAAATTACAAAGTCCAAAGACAGTCACTCCAGAAGGCACTTGGATACTCTGATGCTCAAATGACACTCGAACAACTTCTAGGTCAGAAACATAACTGTGACGAAATTCTACGATATATCCACAAATGCAACATTAACATCTAATTGTTTTGCCACGCCTCCATTACAACTCTATTCTATTCTGCTTAGCCACGCCTCCTTGATATTGTAGATTTTGCGCACGTGCGGGAGAGGGGAGCGTCGACGGTTGGCTGGACACAGTGTTGCCCTCATCACCTGAAGGCGTTGCGGACCTGCGACGAACCCGGCGGGGCCCGGGCCCTCAAATTGCATGGTGAACGGTCTGGCCTTGCAGGGCACCAGCGACACTGCATGTTCGGCGGATCATTGGCGCTCCCCCCACTCCTGCCTCCATGCTTTACCGAACTGTCACTGCTTGGTTGTTTTTTTGGCATTTCCTTCTTTTTATCTCTCGCAGCTCTCACGAAGTGTCTTTGTTTTTCATGTCGTACGTCTTTTTTTGCTGATTAGCCTACTGTTCTGTAACGCAGAAGTATTGCTTATGGCACAAAGGGCACTAGTTTGCCGAACGTGCCATTACATTAACATCAACAACAACAACAATCTTCTACAGAAATTTGACAACAAAAAGCTATGACCCCCCCCCCCCAAAAA